AATGTGGCTTCAGGACTCGCAGGCGTTTCATCTTCCCCCAGTCGGTAGTCTCGGGCTCGTGATCCAAAGGAGAAGCTCTGGTGGCTGAGGCTGACGCTACTTCTGGGCGTTCCAGGCGATGGCGTTGCTGGAAGCCAAGGGAAAGACAGAGAGAGAGAGAGAGACACCTGCGCATGGGGGGGGAGGGGTCTCTTAAAGCCCCTTCTGCCCGGCAGGAGAATAAGCAGAGAGAGGGACAGACGAGAGAGACGGAGAGAGAGCGAGCGGGGGCACCTGAAGACTGAAAGAAAGAAATGAATGAAAGAAAGAAAGAAGGAGAGGACCAGGGAAGAAGAAGGCAAGTGCGAAGCCCGAAGTAAGGGACTCCTTCAAAGCAAGAAAGCGCCCCTTGCAATGTACGATGCTTTCGAGAATGGACTGGCTCTCGGCCTTGTTCCGGTGAGCTTGTCATGTGCGTTTTGCCAGAAAGCCGCCTTCCGACTCGACCCATACACAACCCTGTTGACAAGGACCACTACAAGGTGGGGACCCCTATAGTTATCAGTAGAGTTAGAAGAGCCCTAAATTGGGTTATACGGATCCTAATTTAGGTTATAAGTCCCTGAACTACAGTTAGTATACTTAGTAAGGGGGCACCTCCCTGTACGAGCTCCCACTTTGCTAAGGAGCGACGTGGCAACCCGGAGGTGCGACGAAAGCAAGGGGCTTGGCCTCTCCTTGAGACACCCAACTTGGTTTTACTTTGGTTCTTGCATAGAAGCCTTAAACCCTAAATCCTAAAATAGAGAGGGAGGGAGAGAGAGAGAGAGAGAGAGAGAAATCATGAGCATCAGCTGGGTTGGCTGCCAATCCAAAACGGGCGTCCCTTTTAATCGCTTTCTGTGTCTTCAAACGAGCAAAAGGGACACCCTAAGTGCTTTCTTGTGGGGTGTCCCTTTTCCTCGCTTGAAGATGCAGAAAGCGATCAAAAAAGGACACCCATTCCATCGCCCATAGAGAGAGAGAGAGAGAGAGTGCGGCGCCCCCAAGAATTAATGAGAAGACCCCGCCCACCCAGGTCCCAAAGTAGCTCAGTGAAGGGCGAGGTAATGCACTGTGGCAACGTTGTTGCCACATCCTGTCCATAGTCAGATCATGTCAGGTCCGCATATCGCAGCCATTTTTGGATTTGCCACATCAACGCTACCAGTAGCTGCCGCGCCTCCTTACCTTCGGACCATCGGACGATGCTGCCGGCTGTTCCCCCAAGAGCAACTCGGGAGTTGAAGGAGAAAGGTTTTTTGGGGAGTTTCGAGTCCTGCTTGCAAGTGGTGTTTTTGTAAGCCCTGCTTGTTGCATCATGTGCACGACATTGGAGAACTGCAGCTGTCACTCTGCACGTGCACAAAGAAACGCATACTTAGAGGCCCAGGCTACTTCACTGAATGGCCACGGCCAAGCGTCCAGCGAATGCCTGACCTTTCCATTGTTGCGCATCGCGCCACGGGCTGCTGGAAGCCCACCCTAATATGTGCCCGAAACCCTATAAACGTGCGCACAAAGCAGACTTCGCCCATGATTCCGCAAACACCTCATACCCAGGCAAGTGCTCCTGTCGCCGTCGTTGTCGCCCGCCCATCCGTGACCTCAGTGATTCGCCCAAGCATCCTCCGAAGTACTTGGAAAGTTGCCAACGAGGTGAGGCAGGGTTTCTGGCTAGGATTTGGGAGTTGAAAGTTGGGGGCTGAAGGTTAAGAATCTTCTGTGGGGTGCAAGCAAAAGCACAAGGGGCGCGGGAGGGGTTTAGGGCCGCAAGCCATGCCAAGGGACAGCATGAGCCTTGAAGAAGTGGTCCTTGGATCCTCGTGTTAGTCAGGGTAGGCTTCTCTTGTGCGGGGCTTACAGGCAGCCCTTGTTTTTTGCCCTTCGTGCCATCGGGGTAGAGTTTCGCAGAATCCCCACGTGAGGATGTGATCGCCCACAAAGCCGTCATGCTACCCCACCCTAAACCCTAAACCCTAAACCCTAAACCCTAAACCCTTCTTGACTTGGACAGGTCATCTGGCCTTGCAGCTGCCAAGCCGCAATTTGAGGTTGAAAGTTGGAGTGGGCAACCACAAAAAGGCAGCTTGGGGAGGGCATCCCTCATTCCCACAATTCACTTCCTCAGAGGCTCTATGTAGGTTGCAAGGCGTGTCTTGAAGCTTGAGGATTGGGGGCGTCCGGGAAGCAGAAGAACTCAGACTTTGGGTGCTCCAGTAGTCCGGTCGAAGCATCTAATGCTCCAGGGAGGTACGTCAAGAACCCATGTTTCAATGGCAAGTGCTCCCTGGGCTTTCCTAAAGCATTGGCCACAAGCAATAGCCACGACGCCATGAGTCCCACACGCAAACCATGTGGAAGTTGTCCGAGCCCTTCCTTCCCGCTGCACACCTTCCTTGCACCTGCTTTGCAGAGGTTACGCCCTTTGCACTGCGCCCGTGCGCGCTGCCGCATTGTTGGGTACTGCACTGGGCCTCCGGCGAAATCGGCGGCGTCCGGCAAGGAGGACTTCCAAAGCTTTGGGATTTGGGGTTTTAGCTTCGGGGGCAGGACGAAGAGTCAAACCTGCATTGAAGCTTCTTCGGACATTTGCGCATTGCCTAGCCTGCCGTCGTGCGAGTGTGAGCGTCGACCTCCCCCCCCCCCCCCCCCCCAAAAAAAAAACACGGAAAACAAAAACAAGAGCTCCTGGAGCAGGATCGGTGGGAGCGTCTCATGAGCCTTGGCTGCAGGGACAGGACACGGGTTCGTTGCTCCAAGTTTCTCTTGTTAGCCCGCAAGAAACGGCAAGCATACGCAAGCATACTGTAGATAGAACACCAGAAAAGCAGGATTTCTCGTAGGGTCGAACTGCTTTAGGATGCACCCAGAGGCAATACCTTACTGCGGGGGCAGGGGTGGTGAGTTCCGTCACCCTCCTGACAGCCGCTCAGGGCAATGTTCGAGAGTGTAGCGGCATGAGAGCCTACACACATGAATCAAAGTCTTTGTTTCATTGAGGGAAGGGGGGGGGGGGGGGGGCTTTGGGGAGACAAATCCCGAGGTCAACGGAAGCCGCAAGCGCGAGCGCCGAGTCCGCTGGCGCACATGGCGCAGGCCCCCGAAGTATGTGGCAGGGGTTCATTGGTTGGTGGAAGTACATGCCTTGGTAGCTGAGTGAGTACACTTTACACTTTTTGGGATACTATAATCGCCTATAGAACTGAGAGTGTAAACTTGTTGGGGGCTTATATGAACTCACCAACGAAGATGTAGAGAGCCGCAGAAGGGATGATGGGTCCTCGAGGAGCTACGACACGGTGCAGCCGAGCTGGGTGACAAGCTGCGCCATCTCTTCGCTGGGGCCCTGTGAAGATGTTGCCCCAAAAGCCCTGGACAGTCCGAATCCTTGCCTGCTTTGTGGGAGCGCGAGAGCCGAGACCCTCAACCCTAGGCCCGAAACCCCATTAAGCCCTCTTAAACCCTATTAAACCCTATTAAGGCCCTATAGACCCTATAAACCCTAAACACCCTTTGAGCCCCAAAAAGCGTCAAACATGAGCGCTGCAAGCCGACCTGAGCCACCCTCGAGCTGCACCTTGCTAAACACAGCATCTGAGATCAGCATAATTGTAAGAGACATTGACTTGTTCTTCTTTATGTATGTATGTATATATATATACGTATATATATATATACATATACAAATATCTGCAAATTTTACATATTCGTATATAATAACGGATTCCAAACAGAACAGATGCGCACCTCAAAGAGAGACATGAAGACCCGAAAGTAGAAGTCTGCCAATGCATGACAACTACGAATAGACCGAAATATCTACAAGTAGACAAGTGGATGTATACCTACGCATGCACGTCATGTGCGTGCAATCTCGGGAGGGTGCCGCGCTTCAGGTCGATGCGATATATAGACATGAAGCCAAAACCAAGGGCACATCACCTCCTGTCATAGGCTGCCTGTCACTATTCTAGACATATGTATATCTTTAAAGTTGCACTTGTACATTAAACATATATGTTCTATTCAATGTAACTGTTCTTATTTGTCCCCTGAACCCTCAACTAAACCCTGTGAGCGCCGAAACCCCAACCCTCTTCCCTCTTCCCTTACGCCATGCCTGTGTCGCCCTTGGCTTCCAGCGTCGCATGGCTGGCTCTGCTGGCTCTGGGAGCCTCGATCTTTTCGAGTCCATGCGAGGAAAGCTGCCTGGCCTCGGAGAGTTGCCATTTTTGCCCTTTGGGATCTCTCTCTCTCTCTCTCTACCTCTCTCGCTCTCTGTCTATGGGCTTGTTTTGGGGTGTTCTGGTACGATGATGTACGATGCACTCGCCACGCGCCCCCCGCTGAAGTGCCTCTTTCACGGCCTCTGGCCACTCATGGCTTGCCATAGGAGCCACAGCTTGTACCCCTAAACCCTAAACCCTAAACCCTATACCCTAAGTGCAACTCTACCGGAGCGTTCCCCTTGCATCCCTGGGGAGGTGGTTGGTAGACTCACATGCAAATGCAAACCTCGATCTACTTCCCTAAACCCTAAACCCTAAACCCTAAACCCTAAACCCGTCATTCTACTTGATTGCACGGACCTCCGGACCTCTGCCTCGCCCTCTCTATTCTCCATCTTGCTGTCCTTCTCGTTCAGCTTAGCCTAACAAGTCGCTTTCTCGGGTTTAGGGTTTAGGGTTTAGGGTTCAGCTTTTCTGGGAGAGGTCAGAGTGAAGGCCGAAACCGCCCTGTTGCCAATCACATAGCCCCAAAACCTAAACCGCTAAGCCCTAAACCAACGTGGACGTTCAGTTCAGCCGTGCAGGCGGCAGAAGAAAAAACCAACACCCAAGCCCTAAACCGTGGTGGTCAGCTGGGCGGGTGGCGCCAAAAAAAAGCTAAACCCTCAACCCCTAGCAGGGTTTTTGTATCCCCAGGGAGGGGCTTCAGGATATGCCGACTGGCTCACTGATCGCGAGCACTTTGAGCGAATGGACGAGCCTCGTTACCTTCAGGCGGCTCGCACCACGCACCCCAAAAAATCTCGACTGAAGCGTGCTTTGAAGACATCTGGAAAAGCACAGGTATATACCTTGATTGGAAGTCATTAAGAACCCCCAGCTTGTTCAAACACCCTTATCGAAGATTCCTGCGTAACCTACAGAAATCAGGTGGGTTTTTGGGAGTGAGAGCTGAGTCATCCCATCAGGGTCTGCACGTGCTCTGCCTCTGGCGCGAGAAGGAGGCCCGCTCACGAATGACCATTGCTGACCAGCGAAGCCCGACGGTCGGTATCAACAGACCTGGGAGCCCGCCCCAAGCCCCGCAACTTAAGTTTCGCAGAAGATTTACACTGGCGCAAATAGGGCTTGCGCAAGGGCAAAGCCTAAACCCTAAACCCCGAGACCCCTAAACCCCTAGACAGGCTGGACCGGTACAAGTTGAAGCGCAGCTGAATGGAGTCAGAGAGGAGCGCTGATTCTATACGTAACTTATTATTGTTATTATCATTATTATTCTTACTCATATTGCTATCATTCGTACTCTTATTATTATTTTTATTACTATTATTATTATTATTGTTTTTTGTATGGATGCTGTTATTGCTATTATTCTTCGCAAGCTCTACACCAGGCTGTCTGCTTGGCAGTGTGTGCATATGTTCGTGTGCTTGTCCGGAACTTTTAAACTTGGATTACATGCTCAGTTTTGGGCATTCGCTGTCAAGCTGCATGGCATAGTTGAAGCCAAGAGACAGGGCAAAGTTCGATGCCAACCCCTAAAGCCCTAAACTCTGAACCCTAAACGGTTTGGGGTTTATAAGGTTTATGGATTTGGATTGAGGATGTTGAAGCTCGGAAGAGCCTAGGAAGAGGAAGTAGGATGTTTTGGTTCGAAGGCTGTCGGGAGATGAAAGTTGAGGCCCTGGACTAGTAAGACTAGTACCAACTCGTATCTGCTTGGAGTTCAGGGTTTAGGTTGCCAAGCTCTACTCACTAAGTGTGCCTTAGACCTGGCGTGAAGCAGTTTCCAGGCTCAAAAGGGCTTAGGAGCTGAGTCGAGAACCTTTCACTTTAACCTTTTGGGTAGAATTCAGTCCCACCATATCTCGGGTCCATTTTGGGTCAGGGTACTCAGCAGGCGTTTAGGGTACTACCTGCCTCCCCTTTGAAGCGGAGTGGGCGAACCCTTCGTTCCGGAAATTCTGGAGAATGCATCGGTTTAGGTCTTAGGGTTTAGGGTTTCGGGTTTAGGGTTTAGGGTTTGCCCGGCGGGTTCCCTAACGGGGGATGGCTTCGTAGGGCTTTTTTCGAGGTTTTGTGCTTCCTTGTGGAGGCTAAACAAAGGTTTCGGGAAGGAAATTTGAAGTACTTTGCATTTGCGACAGTCCCACGGTAAGCATTTGCCTTTCTGTACATGTTCCCAGGCTTAACATGCAGAATTCTACTCCGATAGCATCCCCTCATGAACCACAATACTACATGGGAGGCTACATCCTGAATAGTAGGACCAGGAGTACCTTATAAAGCCTTAACCCCTACAACCCTTAAACCTTCAAACCTTTCAAGCCTTCAAACCTTAAACCCTTTCACCTGAACCCCCACCCCAAACCCGCAAGGTGTGAAACATAATTGCCCTTTTCAAGGGTTTTACATGCTTTGGGGGTCTAGGTAAACCCTGAATCCTGAACCCTAAGCCCATCTGCCGCGAACTGCTTGAGGAGCACCCTATGAAGTCAGAGCTGCCGCCAGAGGCAGCCACTTTTACACGCATGAAGTGATCCTGAAGGAGAGGTTTCTCGTGAGGTTTATGCAAATTAAAGGGTTTAGGGCTTGTAGGGTTTAGAGTTTAGGGTTTAGGGCTTATAGGGTTTAGGCTTGTGAGCGGAAACCGAAACAGTTAAACACTCATTGGGCTTCCTGCTTGTGCGAGCGCGAGAGTCGAAGCCGGCGAAACGCCACCTCCGGCACCAGGTGGCGAACGCAGACTGGGGATCCTTCCGGAAGAGCCTCCAACAGCTGCTTCACATCAACAAGGTCCGAAAAACGGGGGGGGGGGGGGGGGGGAGTCTTCTTGATTGTTTGAAAAAAGGGTACTTGTAGGTGGTCTTTTGTTTAAACTGTCTCTGCAAGATTTATTGGTCATGATGCGGCGGTTCCTGTCGCATTCCCCCCCCCCCACCCCCCCCAAAAATGGGCCCAATGGCGTTTCAACACGTCAAGAAGTCTCTAACCATTCTACCCTATAATCCCTTAAAAGGCACTTTATAGCATTCATTATGATTATACCCTAGAATCCCTGAAAAGGCCCTTTCGAGGGTTCATGATGGGGATTTGAAGGCCTAACAGCCCATCCTGGAACGACCCCGGGCCGGCGGACAGTGGGTGCCGTCTCAGCAGCTCCGACTTTGTCTTGGAAGCTTCACTTCGAACACTCGGCTTTCACTCTGAAAACCGCCCCCCCCCCCCCCCCCCAACCCGCAAAAAAAATGAAAGAAGTAACAAGGATGAATAAGTGAAGAAAGAAATAGACCAGCGCAAGAGGCCCTAACCCCTAAACCCTATAGAGGCCACCAACCAGTGGGGGAAAACTTCCACCTTTAGGGTTTTTTAGCGTTTAAAACAAGAATCACCCTAAACCCGAAACCCTAAACCCTAAACCCCCAACCCGACACCCTAAACCCGAAACCCGAAACCCTGTAAAGGCCACCAACCAGTGGGGCAACTTCCACCTGAAGCAGCCCTTCGGCCTCTTCGCGGCCGACGGCCGCCGCCTCGCCTCCGCAGACGAGGTGGGCGGACTTAGGGAGCTGAGACTTAGGCTTTGTGGGTTTAGGGTTTAGGGTTTAGGGTTTCGGGTTTAGGGTTTAGGGTTTAGGGTTTGCCCATGGCACGACACGTAGCTACGCACAGAGGGCAGAGAGAGAGAGAGAGAGTCATGGCTCACTCCCTGGAGTTTTGGTGACACCCGCAAGAACACGCATAACACACTGTGATGGATGGCAATTTTCTATGTGTACTACAGTCTATGTCTGGGAGAACACCATCCACACAGCTGCTATTTTCACACACAGACAGACCGCAAGAGCACGCCCATCCGGGCAGTCCCTTCGGGGGCTAAGTGCGCCGGAAGGAAGGAAGAGAGAGAGAGAGAGGGAGGGAGAAAAAACAAAGCTTCGGGGGTCCAGCTTGCGCAGAGAGAGTTTTTGGGGATCATGTGCGCCGGAAGGAAGACATACATAGAGATAGGGATATAGATATAGATAAAGATATACATGCCTGTGTCTGTGTGTGTGTCGTTATTGCATCAATCCTCAACCCTACTTCCTACCTGCCTCCCCTCCTCCCTTCCTTCCCGGCATATGGCCTGAAACTGGTGCTGCTACCCTTAGCCCTTGGGGCTGCCTGCTTGGAGGTTCAGGGTACTTAGTAACCCAACTAGAGCTGGGTTATAACTACACTTGCAAAGTACCCTGAACCTCCAAGTGCAACCCTTTTGTTGGCTGAACCCTTCCCCCTACCGTTCCTGCCATGGCTCATTGAGTCAGCGTCAGGAAGGCGGGCGAAACGTTTCTGAATACTTTTTTTCAAATCGGGGAGCGCTGAAAGAGGAACAGTGTGCCGGCGCAGACCCCAGACAGGGTAAGGCCACTTCAGAAGCATTCCAAAACACCCCGAGGACACTCCAAGAGCATGCCAGGACCACTTCCGAAAGAATTCCAAGACCACAACAACCAGGACAACGCAAACTACCCGACAGTTCCGCACTCCACAATGAGCAAAAGTGCATGGGATTGTGGCGAGATCGCCCAACTGGAACGCTCTGCCACGTCTTCGCAACATGGAACGGCGTAAGCGTCAAAAGTGCACGAGTGACCTCGGCCGGGACCGGGGCGAGTGTGCGAGGCCGAACGCTACGTGCAAGAAGCCTCTTGACATTTGCGGGAAGCCCTGAAGTGCAATACGGCGCCTGGCCGGGTCCTCGTGTGCGCCATGTGTAAAGCACAGTTTCGACGAGCAATTCGTTGCATGGGGGGTCCGTTTGCTGAGGTCCTGGCTACCCAGCTTGTGCTCCTCATCGAGGGCGGGCAGTGGTCCCTCTTCCGCACGAGAAGAGAAGTACAGTAAACCAAGAATTATAGTAACGGAGGCAGGAGCACGGGGAAAGAGTAGCAGCACTTGCAACAACTACAATCATATTCATGAGTACAGCTTCATGATCGTAAGCCAAGTATGAGAAGAGGCCAAGGGCATTTACAGGGCTTTGGGAGAACTGTTTGCGGTCTTAGCGTAGTGACACAGATAAAGCATGGCCGGCCAAGTTGAGTGTTGGGATGGATGGCACATGATGGCATCATGACCTGCGACACGAATCTTCGACCCCGTCGTCTAGTTTATGGCCCAGGAAGCTCCTAAGGTTAACTTTTTTTGGGAGGCACATGGGCGGCAGAAAGGATGATGGATGCCCAAAGTTACAAAGACCACTGCCTCATTGTCATCGGATGCGGCTCGGAGGCTGAGGAGTTCCTTGTCCGCAGACGGCTCGCGGCAGGAGGGCGGCTCATACATGTGCTAACACATGGTCCCGATGACGACCGTGTGGAGATCTCTCAGATGCCATCGCTCGAGGGATGCTTTCTCTGGCACCCTCCGCGGGGTCCACTCACCAAGTTTGGGATGCGTTTCGGTCCATCCGGAAGCAGATACTGGACCCGCACAGGCCCAAATGCTGTGGAGCTCCTGGACCACCAAAAAATGAACATCTTCTTCACATCGGACTGCAACGAAATGCAGCACGTGCGCATACTGGACGAGGAGGGCAGCGTCGATGCTGACATGTCTGGTGCGGTCGTGCTGAACCCAGACTTGCAGCTTGCAGCCGAGCTGGACGTTGAGGTGGCAAACCCGGATCTGAGACCTGCAGGGACATTTTCCTGGCGCTTCATGCTGCTTTCCTCGCTGCTGTTGCTGCCGTGGTCTGCTCTGAAATGGGTCATCGCTGCACACTGCGAGTCGCACGCGGAAGCGGGGCAGTTGCCATGGTGGCGGGGGCTGCTAATCACTGCTTATTTGGCAGTGCCTGCTCTCTGGGGTTTTGTGCAAAGTTTCACCATAAGCATGGCAGGGGAGATGCCGACGTGACTCGCTTGCAAGCAGTCTTGCTAACAGTCTTGCTAACAGTCTTGCTCAGGCGTCTGAATTGATTCTGTAGGGCTGTGCTATTCAGGGTTGTCATCGGGCGGTTCGGTCGATACCAATACTTCTGCGGTATTATGCGGTGTGGTATTGCTCTAATTGCGGCGTGTGCGGTTGGTTGCGGTTCGGCCCCTCCCACAGGCCCCTCCCACCCAAGCCCCTCCCCCACCCCTTTTTCCTACCTTCCCCCTTCCCCCCTCCCACCTAAGACCTCCCACCTTAGACCTCCCACCTAAGCCCTCCCCACTCCCACCTAGCCCCCCTCCCCCCTCCTCCGCCCTAAGACCTGCCCGAAGACCTGCCCTTTCCTCCCACCTAAAGGGCCCTCCCCACTCCCACCTAGCCCCCCCTCCCCCCTCTCCCCACCTAAAACCTCCCACCTAAGACCTCCCACCTAAAGACCTCCCACCTCACCTTCGACCTCCACCCAAGCCCTCCCCTTCCTCCCACCTGCCCTCCCCCCCCCCTCCCCCTAGACTATTGCTCTCTTTCTCTGTCTATCCCTTTCCCCTTGTGCCTGGTTATTCCCGAATGCGCAGCGAAGAACTCTCGTTTAACGTTCTCATGTAAGCTTGCAAGCCCCTCAGGCCGGCGATCGCGCCGCGAACAGTGGTTATGTAGCGGCCAGCAAGAATCTGAGGCCGGCGATTGCACAGCAAAGCAGTGGCCACATAGCAGCCAGCAGGCTACTCAGGCCGGCGTTTACTGCCCAGGAGGCTTCTCAGGCGGCGATTCCACCTAAGAACAGAAGGCCAGCCGCTTGCCAGGGCGGCGATGCCCCGAAAAATAGCGGCCCCCTCTATTGCGGAGATGTCAGGCCTGCGAGCGCAGCGCAAAACAGTGGCGATGTGGCGGCCGTTTCAGGCACGAGGACACTTTTGCATTTCGCGAAGCCAGACGTCCAGAAGCGACGACAGCCTCAATTGGCTTGCCGCAACAGAGGATCCATTGGCGTGACCTCCGCATCGTGAAGCTCGAACAGCTTGCTGTCGAAACACGAAAAGCGATGTTTGGAGAAGCCGAAAGTGCTGCCCCTGCCAGTGAAGCTGAGCTCGGAAGAACTCCGTGGCCACGCCCGCGCCCAGGCGAGAACGCGATTTTCGCACGAGCAGCTTTCGAGACAATACGACCACGCGCATCACCACTATTCACCACCCTGTCCCAAAGTGTAAATATTTGCTGGGCATACCCACTCTACTATGACTAGACCATCTGAGGAGGAAAGCAGATTCGCCTTGTTTCGCGTTTCGGGATGGAAACCAATGTTCATCTTGTCTTTGTAGCATGACATGATCACAGACCAAGCAAGCACTACGATATCGCAAGCCGAAGCCAATGCTTTGCAAACAAATGAGGGCGGTTTGCGTTTCCCCACACATTCGGCAGAGAACATACACGTTTAAGATTCCATTTAGCCGCGAACAATGGGCGACTGAATATTTCTATTTGCGACGAAGACTTGCCACCTAGTACCTTTCCTCCATCTACTCTTCGTAATAGGCCTTAATCAGCTCCAAAGCTGCTTGGTCTTTGATCAAGTCATGTTAGACAAGCTGAAATCATATTTTTTCCATCAAAAGAAGGTGAGTTGAGCTTGTTGTGCTGTGACGCAAGACAAGGTGAATCTTCCTTTCCTCCTTGGAACCTCTATAGTCTTCGCGGCATGGGTATGCCCAGCAACATACACTTTGGGGCAGGGTGGGGATGCTTTCAGTGATTTGTTGATGCTTTGTAGTTCGTCTCTGACGTTTGTGGACACCGAACCAAAAACCCACGCGACTACATCTGGCATATCCCATTTGTCGTGATCCCTGCGAACGCACGGGTGCTTGTTTGCACTCGGGATCGCGGCCTCTATCAGGTTCTCTCTCTTGTTTTGTGGCTCTTGCCATGTGCGTGTGAGGCTGGAAACATATCTGCGGAGCAGCCTGGCGCTGCCTTTGGTGCCTGCGGTGGGCTTGCTGCAGTTGGCAGATCTACCCATGGCTAGTGTGGTTTGTATGCTTGTCTTCGTGCCGGGCCCTTTGCTCGAGGGGTACCGGCGCCGAACCCACGCTCAGCGCAGCGTCGGGTCCTGCTTGGCCTGGGGTTGCGCGCAGCTTTTCGGAACGCTGGGAACTACAGTCTTGATGACAGCGGTGTTCTTTGTGTATATCCTCCTGATCACGCAAGATCAACTTGTTCTTGCCAACATCTTCCTCCCGGTCACAACCTCCTTGGCGGAGACTGGGCTGGTGGCCTGCACTGCTGCGATGTACACCCGCCTTGTTTTTGCGAAGCGTCCAATGGTGCCAGGTGATGTTTCCTACATATCCATGCCGGCTATGATCATGAGCGCCCATGCGATGGCAGAGTCAGTGCGCTTGGTATCTTTGTGGGCAGGTGCAGTTAGATCGGGAAGCTTTAGTTGGATTGGGGCAGCCATTTTGGGTTTTGGACTCAACGTCCTGAACCGCCTGGGATGGATACGCTACTGTGCTTTTCGAATCATCGAGAAGACGCTCGGTGTTGGTCTAGCCTTGCGCTTGTTTGCGCCAACGAGTTGGTCGAAGCTGCATGACGAGCTGAAGATCTACGGAGGCTACTTCCGGTTCCTTAGGGATACTTGGGAAGATTTTAATTTTTTGGTCGCTGTATGTCCTATAAGAAACAGAGAAAACCTTCATAAGTTCAGTATATAGGTTCATCGTGCCGCTTGCCCTCGTGGCTTCCCGAGCCTTGTTCTTCAGAGAGTTGGCGGTGACTGGGCCCAGGGCGCCAGCCTTCAACCTCTCCGCTTCTTGCGCCCTCTGTGCCCTGTTGGTTCTGGAAGCTCTGGAGGATCGCGTGGTGCTTCATGAGCTCCTGCCCATGAGCCCAATTCCAGCAGAGATCTTGGAGACCAGGGTCCAGTCTAGCAACGCCAACCCCGGCTCACTCATCAGCATCGAGATTCGGCCAACCCGCCCCACGCTGCAGGATGCCTGGCGAATGAAGGAGCTGGACAGCAGGGGCACGCGGCGGATTTCCAGCCTGAAGTCGGTGGTGCCGCTGGAGGTGCGGGTCACAGTTCGTTTGCATCTTGCATGTTCCCTCATTATTACTGAAGCATATAAGGGTGTAAGGAATCGACACAAGACCACAGGTCCTTATAGGAACCCTTCCAGAATGCCCCTGCAGGAGGCGGAGCTCGTCGACCACCGCCGTTCCCTGGGGTCCCGTCGCTTTACCTTCCGGTCAAGGCTCCGAGAACAGCTGGGCCAGAAGAGGGATGTGGTCCCGGGTTTGGTGCTACAGGGCCTCAGGGAGATGCCTCTGAAAACCCATCTTACCATGGGGACGGTCATCTGCATGTTTACCTCAGAGTTGCTGGATGCCGCTCTGAGCCCTGGCTTCATGAAGGGTGTCTGTGAGCAATTTGGGAAGGTTCAGCCGCTTACTTTGCTGTGGCAGCCGGTGCCCTTGGAGTGCTAGCTGACGTTGAACGCGCATTGAAGAGCCACGCCATCTTCCGCCTCACAGCTCAGCAGCCCTCCAGCCCTTGCTTGCTTCGTGCGGGTCTGTGCCTGGAGTGAATGTTTAAAGCGGTTCAATCATGTCACGCCCACAAACATTGGGCCCCTCACTGATCGAACCCTAGCAGCCCTCCAGCCGCTGCTTGCTTCGTGCAGGTCTCAGCCTGGAGTGTTCAAAGAGGCTCAGTCACGCCCCCAAAAATTGGGCCCCGCTTGTCACTGAGAAAAGGGTGCCCGGAGCTGCCACCCGACGCCCCAAGCTGCCTAAAGCCTTATGCAAAACAGAGCCTTCAAGAGCCCTTCTAAAGGCAAGCCATGAAGTTGCCTCTGAAGCAACGCTCCTCTGAATCTCGATTTTCCAGACAAAAGAAGCAGCCACCGAAACACCGGAATTTCAGCATTCTCACCCCTTCCTCCGTTTCCACCCCATGCCCTCTTGCACCCATGACGCGCGCTGCTGCTCTCTCAGGTTCTGGCCTCCTGTGCGGATTGGCTCCCGAGCATTGAAAGAATGGGGTTTAGGGTTTAGGGTTTAGGGCTTAGGGTTCCTAAACCCTAAACCCTAAACCCTAAACCCCAACTTTGGGAATGCGAGTTCAGAGGGCTCCGGGCCGCTAGGTGGGATGAGGCTCGCACTGAGATCAGAGAGAGAGTTCGGTTCAGGCTCTGCATTTTCTTGTAGAAATTTCCCATAATCTCGATGACAGCATCTGAGGCTATTTGCGGGCCCTTCCTGGCACGACTTATGAGAGGCTTGCCTGAAGTCTGAGAGGGTTGTGAGGTTTGGAAGAAAATAGGGTTGGAACGCAAACATTCCTTCGACAAGCGGCACCTCCCGGGTAGAGACCCCCGAAAGGAAGCAGCAGATGTCCAAAGGAAATGAATGAATTCATAGCTTCTTACAATTTGAGTTTCGTGAAGTCTCTGTTTCTGTAGGGCCCCTTATATGTTGTTACTCAGAAAGGGGCACGCTGCGGATTCCTATCTTACTAGGCAAGCTATTCTAAGCCTTGCGCTGCAGAGAGAGAGAGAGAGAGAGATTCTTCTGCTGTGAATTGGCGCATCGCTGGTTCTTGTTCGGGGTTTAGCACTCCAGCAGGTCCAGCTCCAGGGTTTAGGGTTTAGGGTTTAGGGTCTAGGGTTTAGGGTTTAGGGTTTAGGGTTTCGGTTTCTTGGGGCTGAGGGTGATCTCATATGATCGAAATAAGGCATAGTTGGTTGGCGGTTGCAAGGTTCTGTCTATCATCTCCCCTGGCATCTCCTATCAATGGAGTCGACGCGAGTCAGGGGGAACGGATAGTTCGTCTGAGTCGTATAGATATACTACTGCTAGATGGCAGACTGAATGCCAGCTCAACAAGGCCACTCATGATATGCGGTTGAAGCTTGCCAAAAACCCCCCCCCCCCCCAAATTTGCAAAATATTGGCCCCTTGTACGGGTTTTCGGCTATTTTCAGAAATACTTTGGGTTCCAGGTAGGTGGCATCTGTGAGTTTCCGTCTTGGGGGGGGGGGGGGGGGGGGGCAAAGCTTCATGGAAGCCTCACCGAGGCTGGAGACGGTGTCCGTTCAGCCGGTGGTCTTCCGCGTTCGAGGCTTCCTGCGGCCGGAGGCCCCTTGGGTCGACGAACATGTCGACTGTATTCGATTCTCCAACATGTCTTTACATGGTACCAGGATGGGCCATTATACCCTATAATCCCTTAAAAGACCCTTTATAGGGTTCATTATGGGGGGTTTTTGGTTTTTCCCATAAGCAATGCCTAAACCCTAAACCCTAAACCCTAAACCCTATAAATATTACTACTCTCCCAAGGCCGAAGAGAGCACGATATCTGAAAGCTCAGGAGTGCCAGACCATCATTGCCATGGGGGAGGCCGGAGTGTAGCTGATATCTATAGGGTTTAGGGTTTAGGGTTTAGGGTTTAGGGTTTAGGGTTTAGGGTTTAGAGCCCTAAACCTCCCCGGGCGTCGCCGCATTCTGTTGCACCTGCGGTCAGAGGCCAACATGTCGGAGTCGCCCATCGTCCCCATGGACACGCATCACCGAGATAAGGACACCGACAGCATGAGCCCATTTTAGTGGGTTTTGGAGCAGTTATGTCGAAGGTATTCTACTGAAACTGAAAGCAAGCAACTGTGACACACAACCTGTTCAACTAAGATTGCCCGCAATGGCGCTCGATCTTGTGTAAGTCGTTTCTCCAAATCCATCGGGCGGTAAGCCGTCAAGCCTCATAGACATGAACGGGGTGTAGCGTTTAGGCTTAAATATAATCCTGTTTTGGACCGCATTGCGTTGAACTCAGACGGGGGTGCGGGGGGGAAGGGGGGGAAGGGCGGGGTGGTTGCAGGGGGTTTACGAACGGTTGAGATGTTCTTCAAGTCCAATGCGTGTTTTACAAGCCCCGGGTTCTCTGAATCAGGGTTCCCTTTCTTCCTATTGAAATATGGAGCCTTCGGCTATTGAGGGGTGCCCAGCAAAATTTTATAGGGACCAACATCTGTACGAATGCCGAGAAGACGCTGCCCGAGGACACAAAGGAGTTCCGCACCAGCACGCAAGCTCGTCTGGACAGCAACCAGAGCCCGCTGCACATTGGCTGCACTTTGGGTACATGAACTCCACCCTCCCTGACCTTGCATACTCGCATACTCCTTTCTCATAGCCAACAACTTTTCATTAACTCACTACACTGCACGTGTGGGAGGGCGTTCTTTTGTTTGGGGAAGGGGGGGTTTCAAAGTTTCAACATGCACTTCGCTGTGAAGGATCCCATACACTGCGCCCACCTCCAAGGAACTTCGGACTTACAAGTCGGGTCGCACGCGGGTGGGCCTGTCTGTCTATATGGAGGTTTGCGAAAATAGGGGACCCCAAAATAGACCCCCAATAGTAAGATTCCCTTATAAGAAGGACCCTAATTTCGGAAACCTCATATGGCAGGGTAATGGTATTCCCTCTCCCCCTGCAAGTCCGGGGACCATATTGTTCACCGCAACTCGAACCAAGATCCTCGCCCGCGTCTGCTAGAGATTGGAAACCAGTACCTGGATCTTCGCCGGCGTCTGCTAGTGCAAGAGTCGAAACCCTAAACCCTAAACTGAGAACCGTTGGGTTGAATCTCAAGGCTCGTGGAACTGGACCATCGCATCAGCAACCTCACGCGTGTGCCAGTGTCCCACAATGAGGAGGCCCTCCTCTCCAGAACAAGGTTGCGCTATTGAATTCTTGGGACATTGTCTCGCAGAGTCCAGCCGCGCACCGTTCATATGTGCTAATTTGTGCTTTGGCCTGGCAGTCGCAGATAGTAGCAGATTGTAAGACAACTCGTCCTCCAGGCACCGATGCAGCCTACCTATCCTTGAACATCCCTGAACCAGTGTCAAAAGTTGCAACGCCACTGCCACCGGATAGGTGCAGATCCTGAGATACCGGCTGGGCGAGTTCTATGCCGCCCACACAGACAATTTCGACCCGCAGTACTATCAGAATACCGTTGTGGCTCGGCCATGATTCCGGAGATTGGACTTGGCCCTGGTTTAGGAGAGCCCTTGTCGTTGCTGGCGGCGCGTTTCTGAGCCACCTGCACCTCTAGCACACAGCTGGTTGTAGCCTGTCTTCCGTCTGGGGCGTCGTTCCAGGATTACATCGACAAGGGCCACCGCAACCGCCTGCTCACCGTCTTCTGGTACCTGACCAATGCAGCCTCAGCTGCAAGAAAATGGTTACGGGGGTCTTGCATGGGCTTTGGTTATCTTGATGCTCTGCTGTTATGCCATGCTTTCCTTTTGCCATATAGAGAGTGCATGGGCTGAAGGCTTGTTGGATAAAGTAGCTTCAGCTTGACAACACATAGCCACATGGCCTAAACCAGAAGCCCTTTCACGCTGCCAGGTCAGTCAGGGTGGGGAGACGCTTTTTCCGCGGGCGAACGCTTTGCCACAACCCGAGGCGCCCAAAACCCAATCCCAACGAGAAGCCTAAGCCAGAAGTTCCCCCTTTTGCCCCTTTTGCCTTGCAATCCCGAACAGTAAGCCGTCCGTTTCACTTTTGTTGCAAACGTGTTGAGCTGCGACCTATATGGAGTTTGTTGGTGAGGGAGGTGAGGGACGCTGGCAGGACATGCACTCCTGTGAGAAGGGCCTGAAAGTCCAACCGGAGATTGGCTCGGTGCTGCTTTGGTATTCCCTACGTCCCAACGGGAACTCGGATCCGCTGCCCGGACTCTACTGTGAAGGCTTACTTGCATGCGGTGCGTACATGGGACAGAGGGGGGGGGGGAGCTGGGGCTGTCTTCACCACGTTGTGAGGAACAGCCTCCACGCCTCCTGCCCAGTGCCACTGGGCCATGGTTGGACTTTTTTTTGTTGCCGAGCGAAGAAAGACACAAGAGGCTGCCAGGGGCTCACATTTACCACCACTGTCGCTTCGCGAGTAGTTCTGCAAGCAGTGTTCAAGGCGTGAGGGCAAGAAGTGGTCTGCAAACTACTGGGTTTGGAACAAGCCCCGCGACTTCGAGATTGACCTGCCAGATGCAGAGTACGATGATGAGTACGGGGGCTGCGTGCCTGAATGCTAAGTTGCTATAAGTGCGGGGCAGACTAGCAAGGCAATGCTCTGGAAATGCTGGGGAAAATGGGGGCTTACGAAAATAGGGAACCCCTAATACAGATCCCCAAATGGTAGGATCCCTTTAAAATAAGGACCCCGGTTTGGTACCCTGAATTGCGGCAAGCCCAACATGTTCCCTGCCAAGCTTTGCGAGTGCCAAGGCGAGTCTTCAGTGGCAACGGAGGGCGACCCCGTGCCGCAAAACAACGTCAGCGCCACTTTCGAGAATCGGCACCCCGAGACGGTGTACCTGCCGGCGCCTTACCTGTGCCTTTAAGCCCTGGAGTAGGAAGAGTGCACGTGAGTGCCACACGAACTCGCCCCACCCCTAAACCCCAAACCCTATAACCCTAAACCCTATAACCCTATAACCCTAAACCCTAAACCCTATAACCCTAAAAAAAACCAGAGAACCGACTTCTTTGAGGTTCTGGAAGCCCCCGGATCGGGCGCAGGAGGCCTTTATGGGTGAGATCCAACCCCAGGCCGGCGAAAGTCAGGGACTTTTGTGGGCGAAGGAGGTTAGGGTTTTAGGTTTTAGGGTTTTTGGGGGTTTGGCGTTTTAGGGTTCTAGGGTTTTTAGGGGTTGTAGGGTTTTAGGGCTTTAAGGTTTTTAGGGGTTTAGGGTTTTAGGGTTTCAGGGTTTCAGGGTTTTTGGGTTTTAGGGGTTTTAGGGGTTTTAGGGGTGTTAGGGTTTTAGGGTTTCAGGGTTTTAGGATGTTTTAGGGTTAAGGGCGTAGCAATAGGGGTCTTGGGATCTGATTGGAGCGGGAGCAGGGCTTTAAGACGTAAGAAGCCGGTTTCTTCCTGAAAGCGCACAGCGTCCCTTGCGCAGAGTGCTGGTTCTTGTGGCCAGAAGCCCTTAAGTGCCTGACAGGCGTCCATGAAGATGCACCTTGGCCTCTGGTACCCTTTTGCACTTTTCTTGGGTTCTGAGTTCCCTTAATACAGTAAATAGCCCCAAAAAAGGGTACCCCTGTTATGATCTGGTTGCTGGGCTAGCAAGGTACACTTACCCGGGCCACATTTGGCACTTCCGAAGCGGCGTCGACCAATCCTCTACGCTGCTTTACGTGCAGGCCACAGCGGATTGAAGAAAGGAAAGAAAGTTCCAGGATGCTCGATTGTACCCTATAATCCCTTAAAAGGCCCTTTATAGGGTTCATTGTGGGGATTTTCAGACCTAAAAGCCCAGCCTGGTTCAGAGTGTAGAGAATTATCGAAATCGAGTGCACGTCGGGCCAAGAGAAGCCAAAGCCCACGGGCTTTCGGCTGCCCTCTCGGCGAGCGTTCGCTTCCTGATTCTTGTCTCACACGTTGAGAGGGTTTGCGTTTCAAAGCAGTGGGAGCTTTTGCTCCCTAAACCCTAAACCCCAAACCCCAAACCCCAAACCCTAAACCTGCCTCAAACTTTTAGGGTTTAGGGTTCCATTCCCAGCCGATTCCCAAAAACCGGATGCAAAGGATTTAGGGTACATCCGGTATGGGTCTCAGTTCCGGGGCTCAATAGGGTTTAGAAAAAAGGGTTTAGGGTTTAGGGCCAGGGTTTAGGGTTTGGGGTTTAGGGTTTAGGGTTTAGGGTGGCGGGGAAAACCCTTCACTTGGCTTCGCAGGAAATCTTTGAGGGCGAAGCTGAGCAGATCTTTATTCTGGGAGGCGCGACTTCAGTGTACTTTGGTCGGCCTCAGCCATAGAATTTGTGCGTAACGTATTGAGATGTTCCCCCTTATACTAACAGTCCTTAGTAGGGATTGTAGTTGGGGGTTACTAGAATCCCTATTAAGGACTGTTAGTATAACGGGGACATATAACGAGCACACATAAAGAGAATCGAAGGGTAGATACACACACACACATGTATGTGCAGACACACACACACACATGTATGCGTAGACACACACACATATATATATATATATGCATATATATATATATATGTACATGCAACAGTATAGCAATGCTATTTCGGTGCCCATGGGGCAACAGCTCTCGACGCGTGCTCTTCGTGGAGGTCGAAGCCGAAGCCCTAAGCCATTGAGCATGAAGTCCGACAGCCTTGTAAAGCACCAGATGCAGAGAGCCCAATACCCCTTAATCAGGAATATTCCTCAGCCTTAAACTCTCTAGGGATCCAGAATATGATTGAAGGCATATGTTTTTTGCTTAGGGGTAAATGGGGCTCTTTGGGGATGTAGCAGATGCAGGCGAAGATCTTGGGGAGATGCCCGAGGAGCTTTAGCCATCGGTGCACGTCCGAGATGTGCTGCTGCCTTCGGGCGTCCGCGCAATTCCCACATTATTCCCTCAGCTCGCCGTGCTTAGAGGAGTCAAGAAGTCAAAGGCTTCACGAAAGTTTTACACTCAGCTCCGGGAAGTGTGTTCACTGGTTGATTCTGGACCTCGCCTTCAGCGTTGTCATTGTCAGACTTGCCATCAAGAGCAGGCTTGATTTTGAGCATGCCCTCAAAGCAGGGTAGAGGGCAGAACCATCTCGTCTGGGTTGGGCTCACTTAGCCGCCCTGGCGCGTAAGGTCCTTGACAGGGAGGTGCTGGCAGGCTCCAGACGCCTGGAGATGACATCTGCTCCAGCACACTGCATTGCTTGAGAAGAAAGAGAGGGAGCGGAGGTCAGGATGTGCTTGGGCAGCCTCTCCACGCAGCAGCTTGGGACAAAGGGTTCATTTGGAGGTCCAGAAGGCCGCCCCTGAAGCCTCCTCAGGCCCCGCAGGTCCCAAAAACAGAACGTCCACAGGGTAATTTCAGTGCTACAGTTACGTCGTATTTGTATATAAAGCAATATGTGAAAACGAATACATAGACATAATATCGACCAGATCCCTCCAGTTTTTTGACGTTTTAGATGAGGCCAAAATGCCGCGAGGGGGTGACCCAAAGAAAGTCCGAGAGCTCTGGAGCGGCCCAGAGATTTCCCCCCACCCAGCACTGTGAAACTACATGATACGATCTGATGTCTTAAAGACACTAATCATATTTCCTGGGTTCTATATATATATATATGTATATGTACAACATCTACTTTCCTTCTACTTTCCTTCTACTTTATTCTGAATGGACCTGTTATCATATTCATTCAAACTGTTTTACCAAAACGTATCCTCCCAGGCCGGCGGGATGCAGGCGCCGAGTTTGGCGCCGGGCCCAGCGCAGAGCGCGCAGGTTCCTCTGAATTCCGAGGAGGCCCCCGTGACACCGTGGCACGAGGTGGTGCATCTCATATATGCACATATATATATATATATATATAGATATATGTATTTCTATGTGGTCTCAAGCATGTTGCAGGTACTGTGTGTTTTTCTATGTTATACTTGTATATATATATATACATATATCTATATGTATATTTTGTGTTTCTTGCATGCTTTCTTACGGATACTATGTATGAGATATCAAATATCATTGTATCATATCGACTCGGTTTGGGGCTTCGATTCTCTGCATTCGGGAGGAGTGCTTACTAGTTGGAGGCGCGGCTGGATGTGTTCAATGGCGGCGTGCTTCGTGCCGCAAAGTCTGTGAAAACGTCTTGGGAGGGTTGCCTGTTGCTGCGCCAGTCTAGAGAAAGCTCTCTGCCCTAAACCCTAAACCCTAAACCCTAAACCCCAAGCTTCTGGGCAGAGCTTGAAGGCTTCAGAAGTCGAGGTCGTGGTCGCTAAAGCCAAAGCCCAACCTGTTCGCAGGTGGCTGCTGTGCATCCCGGAGCGCTCTATCAGACCCTTCATTCCCGTAGAGTGCGCTTCTGTGAGGGTGTGTAGGGTTTAGGGTTTAGGGTTTAGGGTTTATATAGGGTTCTTAAGGGCGAGTGGTTCCACGGGGGCATGTAACCCAAGATTCCCGAATACTCCCTGCTACTCCCTAAAACTCCGTAAGCTTCCCCAAGCTTCCCTAGGTACCTACCTACCCCCCGATGAACCCCCCTCCCTTAAGAACCCGATAATGCTCGTTTGCATCATGGGAGTTCAGGCTTCGGCACTGTCTGGCGAGCCTGCAAGGCAAGAACAGCCGAGCGCATGCTAAAGTACTCCTTTGCCCAAAAAAAGCCGCTCAGGAACGACTACATGACACTCTGGAACGACAGCAACGACCCCGTCTCGGCTGTGCTGCGCCCCGGCGAGACCACACGAGCAAGACATAAGCCAAGTGGGATTTTGAGAAGAAGCTCGGGTGCCAGTTCCATCCTAGCTTGCTGCCCGCAATGTAGGTGTAGGGACATGGCACAGACTGCAGTTTTTCCAGACGTTCGGACTACAGAGTGCAAGCAGCCTGCTGACGACAAACCATCCTCACTAGCAGGGGTCGGCAAGGGATAGGAATTCCGATCATTCCCATTCAGCTTCCCATCTTTGCTGGCGTCGAACTGCACTGCATAAGTTCAACTCCCGAAGTCTGTTCGAAGGCGCGTGGTCACACCTGATCGCTTCGAGCTCAAGGTGCGCGGATGTAGCCGTACTTACCAGGATGGGCTATTCTACCCCATAATCCCTCGAAAGGCCCTTTCGAGGGTTCATTATGGTGATTATAATAAGGCCTAATCGCCCATCCTGGTAAGGCGACCAAAGGAAAGTTGTCATGCCTCGGTTCGGTCAGTAGCAATGCATGTAGCATTGGCGCTCTGTCAGCAGAACCCTAAGTAGGCGCGCGCGAAGTGGTGTGTCGAACATCCTGTTCTTTTTTCTTTGGTTTGGGTTTACGAAAACAAGGGACCCCGAATCTTACCCCCAAATAGATTCCCTTACAAGGACCCCAATATAAGGTACCCCGAATTTCGGAAACCCCTCCGTGACCCCGAAGTCCTGGAATGCTGTCCGTAGGTGTCCCAGCTCGATTCCTTGGGCGGCGGCAGTGATGGCTGGGTTATCTTCAGGAGCTTGGGGTTTTCCCCCTTAGATGAGTGCAGCTCCTTAGTAAGGGTTATAGTATCCCCCCTATTAAGGACTGTTAGCCTAAGGGGGAACATCCCAATCAGGGGCTCATGTTAACCACTCTTGCAAAGGGGGGGGGGGGGGGGGGGTTCGGGGAGGAGTTCAATTAGAGCCTGTAAAAACGAAAAGCAGCCTGCACCTGCAAGTCGGCGGTCGTGAAGCAATGTGAACACAGGGTTGCTATGGCTGGCAATTTGTTGGTAAGTGTTTCTTATACTCTTTTCTGAGTATTGGCGAGTGTATACAGATGGGTTGTATTTTGGGATACTCGTAGTAGGAACCGCACCGAGCTCCTCTTGTTAAAGCCACCTAGACGCGATGCGGAAGCTTCGTTCCGGACTCTTCTGTCCCCTAGCCCCGAACAAGAATTCTCTGACAGCAGAAAGCAGGCCACAGAGAGATTCTCAACACATTGCAGGCGCGTTTGGAACTCACCCAAGCTAGCTTACACATACAGCATCACAACTGACCTTGACTCGCCTGCTACGCTCCCTCAAGGCAACTAAGCAGCCCTGCAGCAGGAGTGGCTTCACGGTACACGACATCCCCGACCAGCCTCACCGCAAACGCGCTGACCTGAGCTGAGAATAAGAATAATAATATTAATAAATGATAATAATAAAAAATATAGTGATTATTATTAATCTGGGATTCTTGGGGCATCGCAAAAGCCTCGGAGCCAGAGCACCTAAGATTGCACAGCCCCCAATCCTTGAAAGGGGGTCTGCGCGCGACCCCAGATGAGAATGATCTCAAATGTGGCTCGAGTTGCATGCCCGCCGAACTGCACCCCCGAAGAGTTGCAGCAAGAAGAGCCCAGGTCTGCAGCTCCACAATGTCAGGGATGTGAAGGTCCTCGACTATGATGAGTCGAAGTTCGAGAAGCTCGGCTTTTTCTGGCCCCAAAGCCCCAAGCCTGAAAACATGACCTGTGTGGAACCGAGACTTCCGAGTGGGTCCATCGGCATCTGCAGTCACAGTTAACATGTGGAAGGTTCCAGAATCCAACGGAATGTTTCCTTGCGCCAAAACATCCTGGATTCCCGACAGAGCTGTGCTGGACAGCGGGAATCCCGCGGCCACCAATCGGCATAGATCGAGGCTGCTAAAAACAAGGCATCCGGCAGACCCAAAGCATCCGTAGATGTTGCCACGTTGCCTCAGGCGCCGTGCCAACCTGATGCCCCTTGCCTGCCACTTTCATGGACACGTGAAGAAATTCCGAAATTCCGAAATCTACGAGAAGTGCCTCGATGCAGTGTCCTAGTTGTGTCGTTTTGTCGAGCGTTTGCTGGGGCGATCGGTTCCACCTCCTTCGGTGTTTGCCGTTCTTGGGGGAGAAGACCAAACCCATGTAACCTGTCGCTATGAATTGTTCAGAAGAGCAAGGTGCAAGCGTGGCCGTGCGTAGCCAGATTCTGAGGAGAGCAATGCCCAAGTTCTATCTTGAAACGTCAAAAGATGTCGGAAGCAGCCTGTGGTAGTTCACAGTATCCTAAAGTGTCCTGGGCCTTTGTCAAGGAACTTGCATTCAGTTGCCAGAAAAGGGTCAGATGTTCAATCAGATAGAATCATATCATTCCAGTAGAGTTATCAGAGACGAAGAGTTCCTCAGCAAGGCACCCAGTATCCCCAGACGTTGGCATGTTCCCCCTTATACTAGCAGTCCTTCATAGGGGTTCCACTAGGGGGGGGGGGGGGGGGGGCTACTACCCCAAACCCCAAACCCCAAAACCCCAAACCCCAAACCCCAAACCCTAAACCCTAAACCCTAAACCCTAAACCCTAAACCCTAAACCCTAAACCCTAAACCTAAACCCTAAACCCTAAACCCCAAACCCCAAACCCTAAACCCTAAACCCTAAACCCTAACCCTAAGTGCCAGCTCAGAGACTGCGTGAGGCTTGGCATTCTCAAGCGCTGCTCCTGGGTGCTGCGGCTCGGCTCTGCTATTTCGGGGGGCGCCCAAGAAGGGAGCAACAGGTTTTTCTTGGTAAGCTGGGTTTAGGGTTTAGGGTTTAGGGGTTCCCTATATCATTGTTTAAAACACAGGTTATACAGGGGGATGTTCTGCAGAAGCCCGCGTCCGCAAGCTGACAGAAGCCTTGGGCAGGATGGGTGCCTTCCAGCTCGAATTGGACCTGAAGAAGAACCAGGCCACCGAGATCTCCCAATGGTCTCTGTTCCTTTTATATCTCCGTACATATATATATATATATATATTTATTTATTTATTTATTATTATTTTTTTTTTGGGGGGGGGGGGGGGGGGGGGGGGTGGGGGGGGGGTGTTTTACTGTAGCTTCTGTAATTACTACTGAAACGGCAGCCCCTAGGAACCCTGTAGACTAAGACCGGGAATCCCAAAACACACACACACACACACACACACACACACACACACACACACACACACACACACACACGCGCGCTAATTCACCTATACCCGACCTCTACCCCCTAACCCTAAACCCTCTACCCCGTAAGTCCTCAACCCTAAACCCCCTAACCCTAAACCCCAAACACCAAAAGAGTCCCCCCAACTTCATTCCCCTAAACCCTAAACCCTAAACCCTAAACCCTAAACCAGGTGGTCTGCGGACCCAGGGCCGCCCTTCTCAAGCCCTTTTGGGAGACGCCCCTTTGGCCAGGGCAAAGCCACAGTGGGTTTAGGGTTTAGGGTTTGGGGTTTGAGGTTTAGGGTTTAGTACTTAAAAGGGTTTAGGGCTTGCGCTGATGGAGCCTCTGCCCGTGAGTTGTTTCCAGGCATGCTTCGGGCCTTTAGCTGGAGGGTTAACAGTGACCATGAACCTGCACAATCTGCCGCAATCATGCTCACGTCATGGTAGCTGTACTTGAAGCCCAAGAGGTAATGTAGGGGCCTATAAGTGGGTTTCGCTAGCTAGAAATTACACCTGGGTTATGAGTAGAGCCTGCCCGCAATCATGCAACATGCAAAAGGACTGTGGCATTGGTGAAGACGACTGAGGCGAGCATGTGGAAGCTTGGCTTTGGCATTTGCTTTAATGGGGGGGGGGAGGGGGAGGGGGAGGGGAGGGGGGGGGGGGGGGGCGTAAGGAATCCATTAGGTTTTTAGGGTCAGTTTTCTGCAAAAAACAGACGGGGGGTGGGGGTGGCTCCTTGCGGCTAAGATTGAAAGGGTCTCACTTTGTCCGCACAAAAGTCGCCGAGTCGAAACCCTAAACACCTGCCAGCACATGACTTGTGCAAAGGATCTTCAATCCGCACCCCTCGAGGGCGCTGGTTACCGCCTAGTGCCCTGACTGAGTTTGTCAGTCCATGAACCTTGGCCATAGGCTGTAGCATCATGGGTGCCAACTGTGTTCCGACTGAGTCTGGTCGTAGAATGTGCCTCGCCTTGTGCCAGGTGAACGCAGATACTGGGTTCAAGACACGCTCCTGTAACAGTTATGAGACGACCCTGGACATAAGCAGCGCCCGGTTTCAGCAAGAACGAGCAACACTTCCCTCCCTCCCATACACACCACACATTTTTGTACAGGAATTAATAAATGGATAAGAAACTAAAGATGCACATAAGTTATATTATTATTATTGTTATTATTATTATGATTATGATTATTATTATTAATATTACTATTATTGTTGTTTTTATATACATGTATGTATGTGTACGTGAATGTGAATGTGTATGTGAATGCGTATGTGTATGTGTACGTGTATGTGTCCTACACAACCTCCCCCCCTCCTCTCCCCCCCTCTCCCCCTTCCCCTCCTCCACGTCGGCTCCCAGGCGACCGTGGAGTCGACCAGCAGCGCTCGAACCCTGCGAGTCGCTGGAGGGAAGCTCTTTGTAAAGGCTTGGATCGGGTCGAGGCTAGGGTTGATAGGGTTCAGGTGTTAAGGGCGGAGGTTTTTGTTCCAGGGGGCTTAGGGACCCGAGGCTCGCCAGAGCGCCCTCCGCACTTTTGCCGGCGCGTTTTGAGAGAGGTCTGAGGTTGGCTCTCGGGCCTCTCCAGGCCGGAGTTCTGGGGAGTGCAGGGTGTTCCCAGTGAGGGCTCGCTGTGTATTGCAGGGAGCCACAGGGGGGGGCCATAGGGATCCGAATGGGCAATGGCCCTCAAGGCACCTCTCCACCCGAAGACCCTCCACTCCCACGATGCTTTCTTTGCCGGTGGGCTTTGCAAGGCAAAGACCTACCGGCCCCCTGTACAGCAGGCTTTTTTGTGGCGACTTGCCTAGCATACAGATCCCGAGGAGTTGCGCATCTGTTGAACACTGGTCAGTGGTCCATCCAGCTACGGTTTCAAAGCTTTTGTTGCAAGGAAGTCCTTTTGCTCGACAGCTGCCGCTTTAATCTGGCAAGCGTCGGGGGGCATCCTCGCGGATCGCTGGATCGTCAAGTCAGGGCCCCTACTCTCGCAGGAATGGCGAATGCCAACGGCGCTAAGACTCGTCTTGCATGGAGGGGCATCTCAACTGTAGGGAGCCGAATGTCGTGCACCGAAGCCACTGACCGGGATATCCTCTAGCCCATTAAGGCCCTCTACTTTTGAACACGGTGCTGTTTCTTTTTTGGCTCCTTATTTTTCCAAAAAATGGCTTCCCGATCCAGTCTGTGGGGCACAGTGCACAGTGCGGGCACACCCAAGATGGCCATCGCACCATGCCCTGTCCAGTTTCTGAGCTGCACGATCTTGTCCTTTGAAAGCAAGATGCCCATTTTCTGCCATGGCTTAAAATGGAGCCGTGGCCGGCGTCACACCGTCGCCTGCTTAGCTCGTGCTGACCGCAGCGCCCTTCTTTTCGAAACCGCTGGGACCTTTCCCCGGGTTTTTCTGCAGCCAGTGCGGCCTTTTGAAGGTCCGTCCATCCGCCACGCTGCAAGGAGGGTGCTTCCGTCCATTCTCGGTGATTTTGGAGTTTGGCCATTTGACGCAAGAAAGCTGGGACGATCCGGAAGGTACCTGAAGCAGTTTCGCTGGTATTTTGTCCTACAAGGACTGGAGGGATGGAGGGAGGAAGAGAGAGAGATAGAAGCACCTGGGGGCCCTGGACGTGGAGGGGACCTTGCGGGACACTCACAGGGATCAAAGACCAGACTTGGGGGCCCTGGTGCGGACCTGAGGGCCTGAACACGAAGGTGACTGCCGAGGGGAACTCGTACAGGATTAATGCATGTCTGCTCCCCTTCTCACCTGCACCGAACCAAGTAGCGAGCGGTCGTGGCCGGGGTTCCCCCACAGAGGGGGCCTCTTCGCTGAGCAGCAGAAGCAGAAGAAGAAGCAGGAGGAGAAGAAGAAGAAGAAGAAGCAGCGAGAGAGAGAGAGAGAGCGAGCAGCCCTTATTGCTTTTACAAACCAAACCCCGCACCCTCCCGCAAAGCGATTTTTGTGTTCACCGATCTCGTTGAGGTGGATGGCATCCTGGATGGCCTTCGTGCAAAGGGGCGATCCGAACACGGCCGCTACTTGACAGATCTTGGAGTCGACGGAGCTTGCTGTTGCAGTGAAAAATCATGTTTTAGGGTGTAGGGTTTAGGGCCGTTTAGGGTTTAGGGTTTAGGGTCTAGAGACCCCCCAACAAAGCCTCACCCTAGTGAAGGAGATGCAGGGGAAGTGGCAGCAGCCCGGCCCTCAGCTTCGGCGAGCCGTTTCTTACCTGCACTCCCATTCCCAAAGGATCCATGTACCTATATAGTATTTACTTGGGCCTCAAAGGGGTTCCTATATAGTAGCTTTAGGGCCCAAGAATATACTATATAGGTACATGGATCCTTTGGGATTTTGGAGGTTTGCAAAGCTTCTGCTGGTGGAGAATAGGGTTTACATTCCATTGTCGTGGAGACTCTGACTGCGTCTTGCCTGACACCTCCACAGCATTTTGCAAAGGATGTGAGCAGAGAAGGTGGTTGTGACGATGATCTCCTGTCCAACCGTGAAGTTGAAGACCCGCATACCAACCTTGAGGGTTTCGTGGGGTGCTGGGCCTGTGACGTCCAGGTTCGGCCCAACTTCCGTCGTTATGCGCTGGGACTGCTTGCTTGCATTTAGATCTCCAGCCACATCATATCGTCTGAAACATGTCTATATGTTTTGCTTTAATGATGGCTGTGTATGTTTAGGGCTCAAGCAGACAAACTCGACGAGGACGGTTTCGAGGGCTGGGTCGAGGACCCAAAGTTCCTTGAGTCTCGCCAGGGGCTGCTGGCCCGGGATCCCTGCTGCAGCATTGCTTAGGGGCTGGGAAGTTAACCTTTAACCGTTCTGGTTATAATAATGATTATACAGTATCATCCTACTGCAAAAAAAATAAAAGGTCATCCTTTTTTGGGCTAGGGTATTCAGCCCCTGAGATTGTGTTCCTTGCAGTTTTAGATGTTGAGTTGCAGGTTTCGAATTTTGGTTTTCGAACTTCCACATCTCTTCGCACCAACTGAGAATTGAGTCGTTCAGAATGGATGCTGCCTGGCCCCAACGTTGTAACGTTGACCAGCAGCTCTTTGCATACCAGGTGTTGAGATCAGGCATTTGGAGAGAGGGTCACGCACGGAGGGAGGGAGGGAGGGAGGAGAGTGGGCATTCACCTCACTGTTTGTCGTCAATTGTAGCTATGCTGTGGAGGAGAAGCCTGAGCAGACTTGAAAAGACCATGACGATGGCACGGAGAATGCCTTCTGAAGTTCCGCATACCTATTGCTTTAATTCGAAGGTGTCCGTAGTTGCTTTGTTTGCTTTTGCGGATCAAGTTGCGGACCATGGCGAGAGACATCATGATGGTGGCAGCATGAGAATCGGGAGACAATGCTGGGTCGCCAAGGGCCTGTTTCATGCCTCATGATCTGCTTCCGGCCGGCACATGGGGACTCTTGGAACGGAGACAAGATCTTTTCTATTCTTTATGGGGCACCCCGAAACGAGAAAAAGCAAAACAAAACCTAAACCCGAAACCCCCGATAAACATCTTGCAATTGACCCGCGGAAAGAGTTGCGGCTGACGCGCCCGCTCGTGACCACATGGCCGGCTCGGCACCCGGCCACGCCATGGCGACGCGCGGCCGCAGAGTGAGCGAACGAGTGCTTGTCTTTACTTCATGTCTATCTGTCTACCCATCTAGCTGTCTGTATCAACACATGTGTACACACATTTTTTATGTACATAAATATGTAGATCCTAATACAGATTCTTGGCGCTCATGTCTTTGTTCAGCAATACATATGCACACATATATATATATACACGTATAATATATATATATATATATATTGTCACAATCCATGCAGGCGGGGGAGTGCCGGCCTGCCACCGCTCTACTTCCCCTCTCCGACGGCCCATGGAAGGTCGGAAGGGCATATGGACGGGCTTCGGATAACACACTGTGTTGCTAGGTTTAGGGTTTAGGGTTTAGGGTGTAGGGTTTAGGGTTTAGGGTTTAGGGTTGGCAAAGGTATGGCTGTCTGTGTATTGCGTGTTGTTGGCTTTGTGGGCCTGTACACTTCGCAGGGATGCTGCTTGCTCCGCATGGCCTCCGCCCCTGATCACATCTCAGCACCAAGTTTCAGCAAAAGCATTCTTGAAGGCGGGAGCCCCCGGATAATTGCAGGTACTACAAGCCAGCTGACGTTGGAGTCGCTCAGCTCACCTCTGTTTGGGCTTTTCGGTGCTTTTGGGGCAGGAACAAGGTTGGTGGGTTCCGGGTTAGCAAGTTCCCATGCGCACGGAACTTCTGATTGCCCAAACCCAAACCCCCAAGTCGACAAGTGCACCAAGTCGAGTGCGCGCAAGCACAGGGCCGACACTAGCGTGTTTGAGAGTCGAAAATTGGGATGTTCCTCCTTATACTAACAGTTCTTAATAGGGATCATAATATCATCCCCAATAAGGATTGTTAGTATAAGGGGGCACACCCCGAGTCGAAGTCCAGGTGCTTCGGCGGTCGGGCACGCCTCCCCTGCAGCGTGGGGCATCCCCACTGCAGCTGTCGCGGAGCCCGCTCTTGGGACTGTTAGCACAAGGGGGAGAATCCCAACTGCAATGTATAGGGCCGTGGAGGACTCAGACTTCATGTAAGAAGTTCGAATTCGCGCCACTTCCTGGAAGGTGGTTCCGTGTTCCATGTTCCACGCATCAGCTTCGCCCACCAAGCCAACTATGAAGGGCGGTTCGAAACTACGTCAATCGTGTGAAGCACCTTGAGTTCAAACAGCTTGAATGCTCTCGAGTCCTGGAAGAGTTTGGCGTAACTGCTCATCTGATAGTAGATCGCCCGCTGTAGATCACCTACTGTTGAAGGCCCAAGTTGACAAGAATCGTAACAAGAAGCTACTATTCATATTTTCGTTCCGAATATACAAATAATAATAGGAACCCTTTTTTCAAATAATATTCATAATTACACATATACACATAGACATATACCGATTATATGTACAGAAAATGCGAATCTTCGTCACAGACTCCATTACAGACTTGCTCAGATTTGGCGTCAGTGGCACATTGGCCACTCCCAAATTACAGTCTGGCAACGCTAGCAATAAGATATGCTGCTGCTACTACTACGACGACGAATACTACTACCACCACTACCAGTCCTCAGCTGCTGCTCCTGTCACGAAGGCCGGCTCGAACGCAGTCGCCAGCACAACTGCACCCCCAGGCGCCGGTTCAGAGAATTTACTTTTTTGGGTTTAGGGTGTTTACTGATTAGGGTTTAGGGTAATTCGGGTATTTAGGGTTTAGGGCCCATGAATATCTTGACAGGGCTTAGGGCTGTAGATTTGAGCTGACTTGTTAGATGCTGTAAGATTTTTTCCATATTCTTCGGACGCCAAGCTGAAGTGCCCCGCCCACTCAAACCTTGCGTGGCCCTCGCGTAGGCTGCCCACAGCCCGGCCGCCGCGCCGCGCTGCGGACATGTGGCCGGGTCTCCCCAGAGGCGGGAGCCAAGGGCGGTGCAGGGTTTAGGGTTTCGGGCTGAAGCAGGAGAACCTTAAGAACGACATGAGCCCTAAGATTGAGATCATATATACCCTATAGTACTACTATGATCCCTATAAGCGTAAAAGGACCATCAACCTTGTCGGGTTCACTTGGTCCCCCAAAAACCAAGTCAGTGTTTCTGTATTCGGAACTCCTGGTGTCCACACATTGGACGGATCTGGTTCCTTTGATGCCTTACAGGATCGCAGACCTCAGTCGGTGCAGAATGCTGCTAATCTTGAACCTGCCCTTATGATGCTATCCAGGGTGCAACGCTTCACTTTTTCATCAGTCGTAAACAAAAGTAGGAACAGGCCCAGACATGCAGTCCCTTCGTCCGTAGATATTCTGTCAATAGGTCCAAGTCCAACCCCAAGGGATGACAGTCCCCAGGCATCCGCGACCGCGCGCCTAGGTAAGAGCACACTTCTCTTCCAAAATGTGAGCAGGCCTTGAGGAAAGCGACCGGACGGTTTTTTCCCCCCTGGTGCTGACACGCTGCTTGGGGAACCGAGCCCTCTAAACTCTGTGCTACAAGCAAATCCTCTAACCCGAAGCCCTCAACCCGATGATGTGCTGGTTCAAGAGTGCAGTCGCGCTCAGTTACCCTGATACGGAAACAGCGCCGAGGAAGCCCTCAACCCTGATTTGGGGTTTAGGGTTTAGGGTTTAGGGTTTAGGGTGACTTCAAACAGACAGTTTCTGCCACTCGCTGCCAGGTCGCCCTCTCCGGCCCTCGGCCGCTTGATCATGTCGCCCGTGCGCGTCACGCAGCAGTTGGCGCTGTGGCCCCCAAGGAGGCCCAAGATGCTAAAACCTGGGGATCTTCGGGACTTTATAAGCTTCTTCAAGGCTGGTTTAGGATTTAGGGTCTCGCGGTAGCGGTAGACGTGGCTAGCGGCCGGCTGATGAACCATGCAGTACCCAGAACTACAGCAGCTAAGGTTAGCGTTTATAAACCCTAAAAACCCCACCTTGCTGATAAGCTTAGCCCGATTTCAATGCTTCCATCAGGTAGAGTTTCAGAGTGCAGCCTAAACGAAAGAAGTCCTTCTTTTGACAGGCCTGTCGGACGCGTCCTCGTACCCCCAGCTGGGCTGGCGAGTCCTCCGCGGCCCTTTGGCTGTAGCAGCGCTTCACAACAGGGTGGAGGGTTTAGGGTTTAGGCTGACTGAAGAGTTCCAGAAACTGTCGGGGCTTCTGGTGGCTTCGAAATCGGGGTCCAGAAGCTCTTCTTGGTTTTTCGTTCCGCAATGAGTATAGCACGTCCACGATGCGCAAGAAGCAGGATCAGCCATCGCTCTTCCCGAATGTAACGAGGCAAAAGCCCAAGCTTTGCGCGCCTAAGCTTCCAAAGGCTGCGGAAGAACCGCCCAATTACTCCTAGATCCCTCTTTAAGCTCTTTATAAAGGGTCCCCCACCTCCCCCCGCTGAATTTCATGGAATCTACAAGGGCTATATACGGGACCATGTGACTACCCCCCTTCTCCTTGAGAGGCTTCCAGACATCTCCCCGGCGCATCATGGTCCCGTCCGAGGGGAGAGTCAGTCGGAAAGCCCAGAAGAGGGGTGTGACTCCCTGAGCTGAGAGGGTTTTAGGTTTAGGGGTTTAGGGTTTAAGGTTGGGTTCTTTTACTGGTGAGTGTGTACAGTTGGGGTGTCCTGTTTTGGGGATGCTGAGAAGAGAAAAGCCTACTTCAATGTGGGTGTTGGGGCGCCAGGGGATGGGTACGTATTCTGGTGTTGATAGGTATGGTTGTCAGTTGATGGTTCAAGTTTTCGACTATATTTAACATCCGGGTATCAAATAATTTGGGTGTACTAACTTTGCATATAACCACTTGTCAAGTATAATACGTACATAGCTGGAGAATTGGTTGTAGCCCTGTGTGGTGGTGCTTGCAAATACCCGTGCTTGCGCCACTTCACATGAACCTACTGCAAGAAGGATGGCTAAGACCTCCGTTTTTGTGCTTGCTCGGCTGCAAGATCGGATGGGTGTCATGGTTCTTCAAATTTCCCAGGAGCTTGGCAGGCAGGTGGGACTCTTTCGAGGTTTAGGGTTTAGGGTTTAGGGGGATGGACGTTCTCATACCTCACAGAGTCGGGGGTGCTCTGTTTAGCCCAGGGATGCCCACTGGATGCGTTTAGGGTTTAGGGTTTAGGGTTTAGGGTTCAGAGCGAGTTTCATACAAAGCTTCAACTGTGCGTTCGGAGCTTCTTGTGAGAATTGCAAAGCCTGAAACCTCTGCCTTGACCAAGGCATGCTGGGAGGGCGCGGCGTCGCGTGCCCAGAGAGCTGCCAGCACATGAGGGCCTTGTGCCGTGAAGTTACGATATATATATATATACATATATATATATATGTGTGAGAATATATATATATATATATATGTATATATGTATGTGTAGATACTTATACATATCTATATATATATATGTATATACATTTATTTATATTTACTGGACTCGTCTCTTGGAAGTTGCGCTTGTGTGTGGAAGTACGGACTCTAAGGGTTCCCCGGCACGCCTGAGCATCTGGCTGTCCCTGTGCGAGTGTCGGAGGCTGGGGCACGGGATCTCTTTTTTCTTTCGCTTCTGTGGCAGGGTTTAGGGTTTAGGGTTTAGGGTTTAGGGTTCAGGGTTTAGGGTTTAGGGTTTAGGGCTCAGGGTTGAAGGTTTTCGCTGCCTGCAAACTTTGGGATTCCTTGGGCACGTGAAAAACTTCAAGTGCGTCCCGCATGGTCCTGTGGACTGATCGTTGCCCGCAACTTTGATTGAGGACAAGACAGTACCCTGACCTAAACGAGGCAAGGTCATCATGTGATTCACAGCTGCTCAGGATTCTTTCAGCCCCGGGCAGCTGTCTGACTTCGACACCTCCTACCGCGATGTGATCCTGGGCTATCTCTACCTGAAATGGGCAATTAAACCGTAGAATCCCTTAAAAGGGCCCTTTATGGGGTTCATTATGGGGATTATGAGGCCTATAATTAGTTGCCAATTCTGGTATCTGCAATGGTGTCAGCCCCTTTGAGAAATCCGCAGAACCGAGTCGCTTTAAAGCAGAGCCGCCGAGGAGCAGCAACGCTACCACCGCCGTGTCGCCCGCGACCCCAGCACAGGAGGATGCTGCTGTAGCCGGCTCTACGTTTAAGTAACCCTAAACCCCAAACCCTAAACCCTCAACCCTAAATTGGCTTAAGTAGCCCTAAACCCTAAACCCTGAACCCTAAATTGTACTAGTGCAGGACAGCTGCTCCGGCCTTGGCCCGCAGGCGCTGAGATGATGCATCGTAGAGACTTCTCAGACAACACGTGAAGGAAGTCCGGGACAGTGAAGGCCTCTAGCATTGCATGACCAGGATGGGCTTTTAGGGTTCGAATCCCCATATTGAACCCTATAAACTTGAAAGGGACTAGAGGGTATAATAGCACATCCTGGTACAGCAACTTCTGGTTCGGGCGTGGGACGGGTTTTGTGCCAAGATGCCTTTGTATTCAAGCAGGGGCCACCACCCCCACGGCCGGTACGCAGCTCGGCCACAGACAGGCCGGCTTGCAACATTTGCAGGTGATTCACGTGCCCACAGTTCTGCACAGCTTGAGAATTTCGCGCCTGCCAACATTGTGATCGTGAGACAAGTACATGCAAGCCGAAAAGTGCGAAAGAAGGAACCTTTCAGCACTTCGGCAGCGCCATGAGGAGCTCCTGCGCGAGCCTGAGCAAGCCCTGGTGCCGTTTGATTCCGAGTGAGGGTGATGCAGTGTAGGTCCTTCTGGGGGTTACACTCCATGTGCGGAGAGCATGAAGGCGAGATCTGGCGGTCAAAGACGGCGAGATAGCCTCTGCGCTGCATCATGTAGGACTGATGGCTGTGGAGGTTTGTTTACGTCGCAGCCCCGGGACTGCCCAGCTTAGGGTTTAGGGTTTAAGGTTTAGGGTGAGCTCATCAGAAGCGCCCAACCCTACTCACTGACGCCCTGGCCCTCCGACCCACGGAACCCTGCTCAGCTGTTTAGGGCTTAAAACCCCTTAACATCCCTAAACCTTAAGCCCTAAACCCTAAACCCTACACCCTAAACCCTAAACTCTAAGCCCTAAAACTAAACCTTAAGCCCTAAACCCTACACCCTAAACCCTAAGCCCTAAAACCAAAAAAATCTCTCGGCTTCTGAGAGGCAACCACGTGCCCCCCAAGTCCAGCCGAGGCTTCGCTGCGCGCCCTTAGCTCTGCTGCCAACGCCGACCTTGAGGCCCGTGCTTCCCTTTTTCTTGTGGCATTAAGGTCTTATTTATTTTATTTTATTTTGTTTTATTTTATTTTATCTTATTTTGTTTATTATTATTATTTAGTGTTTTTGCTCTTCGGTTTTTGGGTTTTAAGGGGTTCTAAGGTTTTTTTGTGGGTTTAGGGTCCTAGGGTTTCAGAGAGAGAGAGAGAGAGAGAGAGAGAGAGAGGGCGCTGGCTGGCTTGGGTGATTAGCACTTGCCTTGGGAAGAAGGATGCTAGCAGGGGTCACGCCTGGAGGTGGTTTTCTTCCGCTTGGGACCCCTCATTACACCCGGTTGTTCTGGGATTCCTCTTTTTCTTGGAGTAACATCGGCATTCCTTCCTGTGCGACGACACAACCTGGGGCCGGGTGTTTGGACTGACACAGAATGACCATATGGGTAGTTCCTAAAACAGGGGGTGCCCCCTTTATGCCCCCCCAAATACTTTTTTATTCCTTATGATCGGAACCCCCAAAAAGGGTCCCCATATTTTCGGAAACCCCAGATGTGTTCTGAGGGGAGGAGTGCTCCACTTTTAATGCCATTAAACATGCCTGAGGTGTGGTGAGGTGGTTAAGTCGAAGAAAATGGAAGAGAGGGTTGGGGGCTACCGTCGATGTGAAAGTTCCCCGCATCAAGGGATAAGTGGGGGGGGGCATCAGAAGTATGTAGTTCCCTCGTTCTTAAAACCCCTGCCTTCGGTTCTAGCTGCTTCCACCCTCCTTTAGAAGGTCTGCTCTAAGCATCTTTGCAGGCGGCAAGGCTCAGACTCACGTGCTGCTTGGCAGTCCATGGTTTGCAGGATTGTAGGTCTGCAGGGCCTGTTACTTGGGGCGAACAGGGGAACAAGGTTATACGGCGAGGCAGAGTGCAGCGAGTCGAAGCTAGTCTCAGTCCATGGGCACTTACAACGTTAAAAGACGGTGCGGTAGCTCGTCGCTTGGAGTTCAGCCCCTCCCACGGGCCCAAGTGCCCACGGCCTCAGCATCGCATGGAGAAGGAGCCAGGTTTTCAGGCTGCGTAATTGACCCTCTATGGTTCAACCCTAAACCCTAAACCCTAAACCCTAAACCCTAAACCCTAAACCCTAAACCCTAAAGGTGCATTCCCAGACAAGACGTGGGCTGGCTTGAAGTGAGGCGGCGATAAACACCTAACCTGCGTTTACGGGAGTGGCCTTTCACAAGCTAGGGTATAGCATTGTAGTGCATTATAGGCACTCGGATTTAGAGAATCTCCCTCCCACCCCTTTGTCTACCTTTGTCTTGGCTGAGGCGTCGTGTGCTCTGATGCGGACGTTCAGTGTATCTTCCAGCCCTGCCACCATGTCGTGTGTTGTCAAGAGCAGGGGCCTCGGCTGCAGTCCTGGTGTCGTACCAAGTCGCGCCTTCAAAAAGCAATTCTTGACTCAAACATGGGACGCGGGAAGCTTAGCGGGACCCAGAGCCAGCCAACACTGGTGCACACGTTTGTCCATCTGCTATATTTTTGGAAGTTTCCAAAACAGTTGTCCTGTATCCCCTAAGGAACCACCAAGCTTGATAGTAGTGTCGAATTCACGCTTCCTGCTGGGTTCGTGGTAGTTTGGCGAGCCTGCTGAGCAGGCGGGAACAAACTCACAAAAACCCAAAACCCTGGTCCTGCTACAGTATTGACTTCTTACATGCCCTGTATGAAGTCCGCCTACTTGTACAAAAGCCGGAGGGTCCTTGCGAGATCCTCTTGGGAAGGCTGAGGGTAAACAGGGTCAGTGTCTAGCTTTTATGAACATCAGCCCCTATGTGCTCCACAGTACCAGGATGGGCCATTATACCCTATAATCCCTTAAAAGGCCCCTTTATCGGGTTCATTCTGGGGATATTATAAGGCCTAATAGCCCATCCTAGTAGATGCTGTTCCAAGCTTCGGGACCAGGTGCGCCGGCCAGTGCAGCATGTGCCCAATTTGCCGGCGGCCGGTGCAAGCGACGGCTGCCGTCTATCTACCCTAGGTGCAAGAGAAGCTCACAAGGAACTACGACTTGAACTACCATAGTCCGAGTGAAGCTATCTCTGCAATTGCCATGTACTCGTTGTACCACATTGTGCCAACTTGCTCCAAGTTCCTCCTGAGCTCAGGGTTTAATTCGGTTTCAGGGCTATCTAGGGTCCACGAGGCCACGCCAATGAAGAGTGTGACTTGTTTCTAGCAGTGGTCTAGTTTGTGTAATTTTTGGGATGGCATACCACGAGGTTGTAATCACTGCATGCCTCAATTCAAGGCCAGCAGCACTCTGCATCTGCGCTGCGGCGTGCATTTTCCCAGCTTGCTTGGAGCCTTTTCTGATGCCATGGCACCCCCCCCATCAACCAAACAGCAGAAATACCCCAAGACCCCCCAAAGTCCGTGGCTGTAAAGATGCCCGCTGCGCTCCCGACAGCTGTCAGCGACCCTGTTTCGCCACCTTGCCACGTACCCGCGGCTCGAAGGCACTCAGAATCTAGAGCCCGAGACTTGGGAACTTCTCCGAGATTCTTGACACCTCTTGGCACCAGATGCGGGCCACAAACTCAAATTGCGCGCCCCCTCACAAGCAAGTGCTCCCAAACGGTCGGGCGGCAGAATGTCCTGCCAGCCGCAATTGGCATGCTGCTGCTGGGAAGTTGTGCAAGGCGATTGAGGGCTTGTAAATTTGCAAAATATTATCAGACCTGTATATCCACCTCGGTCCTTGGCTGTTCAGGCTTCAGGGGCAGAAGTCTACGTTGAACATGATGTGAGTCTCAATGGACATCCCTTCCTACCTGGAGCAGAGGCTATGTGAGGGGCTTCATTATTGTAGCCTGCCTGCAGACAACTCTCAATAGCGAGCCGCAAATTCAAGATGATTTTCTTGACCTGTGGTCCGATGGGCTGGAGATCATGAGAGTGGCCGAAAGGGGAGCTGCAGGAATCCCGGCTCGAACGTGCGCAGAGCTATCGTGGCGCCTTGCTATGACCCGCAAGAAGTGCTAGGAACATATATGTGTGGATGTAACTCTGCGGGGTGCTTACCGTATACTCCTTGCTATCTTGCCTACTCAATTGCTTGGCTCAGCTCTGCTCAGCTACCCCTTGCTCGCCCACACTCAGCTAAGCCGTCGGCTGTCATAGAGGCCAGTGTGTCCGAGGCTGGTTGCAACAGCCAGGTATGGGCAAGAATCATCTCCAGAAACAGGCACATGGCATGCTTGGCACTGGGTCGCTGGGGCATCATGGGTCTCACTTGGTCCTAGTTAGGTCGCAGTGCTAAGCAGGCCGCTATGCTTCTGGTCAATCACACGCTCAGAAACAAAAGGCCTGGCTTGGTTCATGCACCACATACTGGGGCGTTTTAGAGTCTAGGGTTTCGGCTTTAGGGTGCTTCGAGGTTATACTTGCGCCGTTTTTTGCTGCGCCTCGCAGCCGAGACGATTACATGATGTGTCTGAGGTTTTCCCCACCTTTCAGGACGTGCCATTTCTCATTGCATTCATGAAATCACACGAAGACCCAAAGCAAAGCCTTACCACACGTCGGATTCCTGAGAACGATCGCATGAACCTGGGCCTCAGCCTTGGACGATCTGACCTTGGGTCGGCTGCCCCTACGTAGGCCGCTACTGCGCCTGAATCACCTAAGCCCCAGTCCTCTAGCAGGGTTTAGGGTTGAGGGTTTAGGGTTTAGGGGTTAAGGGTTTAGGGGTTTAGGGTTTCGGGTTTAGGGTTTAGGGCTTTTCTCTCCTCGCTTCAAATCTCTCCGACAAAGCGTTGCGCGCCACTCCCGCGCCCCATGCGAAGCGCCGGCGGAGATGCCTCGAGTTGTGGCCGGGGACTCTGCGGTTATGGGGTTTTTGGGGTTTTGGGGTTTGGGGGTTTTGGGGTTTAGAGTTTTAGGGTTTTGTGGTGGTTTTGGGGTTTAGGGCTTAGGGTTTCCCAGCAAGCTGTTAGAGGCCTGGATGGGTTTAGGGTTTAGGGTTTAGGGTTTAGGGTTTAGGGTTTAGGGTTTAGGATATCGCGTAGAGCCCGGATGCAAGAAAGGTTTGGGGGTTGGGGCTACAGTGCTGCCGTACAATGTGTCGGCAGGTTTGTTCTTCTGACTTATGCCAGGCGCTTGAGAGAGCCCTGGTGCAGAAGGTGTTGGGGTCATGGTTTGCAAGGGGTTTGGGGGTTAGGCGGGGCTTTCTCTGCCGGTTACTTGTGTTGAAGTGGCAACAAAAAACGTGTAGTTTCGACGCTCCAACCCCCCGGCCAAGGTTGTGTCGAACCGTCTTCCCGTCACTTTGCATCCGGACCGACAGCCGCCAAATGACGTCGAGCTGCAGCTCGGCTCTGCCAAGGCTCAAGACACGCCTCAGAGTCTTTACCTGGGACTCTATCGACCTACAGTTTAGTAGTAAGCTACCCTAGAACCCATACAACTGTGGGTATTGAGGGTCCCAAGTAAAGCTCTCCAAATGATGAGGTCCTCCGGTGGCCTTGCCTCGGCTCTGCGAAGCTGCATCGCCTCGTATGAGGACCTTGTCGGCTTCTAGCATTTTAGGGTTTTAGGGTTTTAGGGTTCTAGGGTTTTAGGGTTTTAGGGTTCTAGGGTTTTGGCGTTTTAGGGTTCCAGCAATTTAGGGGTTCTGGGGTTTGAGGGTTTCAGGGTTTGACGGTTCTAGGGTTCTTTGGTTTTGGGTTTTAGGGTTTGAAGGCCGCACTACAGTCCCTCCTCAGAACCGGCTTTAGGTGCCAGCCCGTTTGAAGACGTAAGACATGTACTAGGACCCTGGGTAGGCCGGCCCCTTCTCCCCCTTTTTTTACGGTACCCTGAACCCTAAACCCTAAACCCTAAACCCTAAAGCCTAAACCCTAAACCTTGCCGACTAAACCCTAAACCCAGGAGGCCCTCTGGATCGGCTGGCCCGGCTGCGCGCCGAGCCCCGAGGACCAGAAGCGGCTCACGGAGCGTCTTGGGGAGGACAGGAAGGGGGTTTAGGGTTTAGGGTTAGTGGCTTCTTCATTTGGTGTAGGTACGGAACTCAGAACAAGAGTTGAGGGTTCGGGGTTTGAACGTGATACAGGAAGTTTGGTGGAGTGAGCGCGAGTAAATCAAGAGAAGGTACAGCATGTCCACGAGCCCCTGTACGGAAGCTTGCAAAAAAAAGGTGTGGTGATGGAAGGTTTCCTGCTACAGGCGACTATGAATGCTTCGGACTTTCTAGACACCCCACAAGAGTTGACTTACAACCAGGGCCTGCAATAGACCTTGAGCTGCGAAACCCCCAAGTCCTCCTAAACCCTGGCCCTAAACCCTAAACAAAAAACACCCTAAACCCTAAACCCTAAACCTAAACCCTAAACCCTAAACCCCTCTTTGCCGAACCCTGGTGGAAGGCCTCGGCTTCATGGAATTGCCGGATGATTCCAGCAGCTCTGAGGGAAGAAGTAGACTAGCTTACTAGGGTTAAGGGTTTAGGGTTTAGGGTTTAGGGTTTAGGGTTAGGGTTTGGGGTCTAGGGTTTAGGGCTTAGTAATAATTTGGATCATGGTATTCCCTCATGGTCGTCCCTATTTCATTATCTACTATCATACCCCCCCCCCCCAACCCTAATTTGTTTTTTAAAGGCACCCTGTACTATTTGCTGCTTCGTTAATGTTCTGCATATCTTGTTCTGAAGTGTTGCTTCGTCATGTAGTATTGGCTCGGATTTTGACTTCATAGTACTATCACACCTTTTGTCTGAATCGATGTCGAACCTAGAAGAAGAACGACCATGGCGTTCTGTAAGTTGTGATCACGAACGACGCGGCCAGGGCACGGTCGAACGTGAGACGCTGGGAAGTTGGATTGAGCGGTTTAACACGGGCTGTCCATCGTCCCTTCATTTCCCTGCCGGTTGCCAGGATGGGCCCCCAGAATGAACCCTATAAAGGGCCTTTTAAGGGTATAGGGTATAATAGCCCATCCTGGTGAGCAGATGCCACCATTGAATGTATGAAGAATGTATGAAGAATGTTGCGCACTGCCCAGGTTTGGTTGCCGCAGAGCGCCTTGGCTTAGGGGGATGCTATGACAACAGATGCATGGCTCTCTCTCTCTCTCTATATATATATATATATAGAATTCCTTGTCAGGTTTTTTCTCCGGGTTTCATTTGGCCTAGACTGACTGGGTTGGAAGCTTTGCGTGTCATGGTTGGTTTAGGGCCAGCCTGTACTGGAAGCAGAATGGTTGGGCCCCGTGGAGGATGTGCTGCACGTTGGTGGCACCGGTATCCCCTAAACCCTATAGACCGTGAACTCGAAATCCCAACCAGTTTGGAACTTGGTGAGCTTCATCCAGGAGATGAGGCAACAGATTTGCAGCCAAGACAATCTGGGCAAGCGACGAAAAGCCGAGCAAAGAACCCTATAGAAAGCAGATATGATTCTTCTTTTGTAGTCAGTTTGTGACGATACCTCTCAGGGAAACAAAAACCCAAGAGCCCCTGGCCCCCGGCACGTTCTGGGTACCGGGGAAGCCACATCAAGCACGGGGATCTCAGGTGACGTGGATGACTTCTATACAGGTGCGAGATGGGGTACTGGGGATGCGGGCATGAACTGGGCCCCAATCCCAATGTACTTTCATCTCGTAAGCTCATGAGCCAACATAAGCCAGCCACCTGCTGTAGACATTGCCGTATCCAAAAAGGCTTCTTTCTTCTATAAGGAACACCAATCAAGGAGAGTGGGACTGCTGAGCCCAGCCTAAAAAGCAAGCCATACCAGGATGGGCTATTATACCCTACAATCCCTTAAAAGGCCCTTTATAGGGTTCATCATGGGGATTAGAAGGCCTAATAGCCCATCCTGGTAAGCCAAAGACAGGATTCTCCAACTCCTCGTTGTGGCCTCTCATGCACTGGATGACGCCATACGCACGCTTCAAGCGTGCGTGGTCGGATGACGCCGTGGCAGCATCAGAAGGTTGTGTCGTTGGCGCAGTATTTATGTGTCCTTGCATGCGTGAAAACGACGGAGAGGGAGGGGCAGGGAGAGGGAGAGAGAGAGAGAGAGAGAGTGGGTGAGTAAGATGTTGGCCCGGAATCTCTGCTCGCTGACTGAGGGAAGTACGGTGCTAGATGGTGCTAGTGGTGAAGACACCTGCGAACTCATATCATGAGCTGTTTGAGTTGCAGTGAGAGTGAGTGAATAGCACTTCCCCCCAAAAGCGGTACTGGATGGTACTTGGGGAGCTGCCATTGAAGTGATCGCTGGGCTATTTGCTGGTGTTAGGGGTCGGTGCCTTCCATAATCAACTCAGAGTGTTCCAGGACCGGGTCTCCGAAATGAAAACTTCGGGTGCGAGAGTGCGTCTCTTGCCCCGACAGAGCAGGATGGGCTATTCGGCCTTTATCATCCCCATACTGAACCCCCATAAAGGGCCTTTTAAGGGATTGTAGGGTGTAATAGCCCATCCTGGGAGCCCTTGAGAGGACGACAACCCCATCCCAGGCATACCGCCGAGTGAACGAGCAGTTTGCAGACGTCATCCTCACCGCCTTCCAGCCAAAAATATGGGACAAAGGGTCGCAAATACAGAGGTAAGGTCTTTTCAAGTGTTAGGCATACAGTTTCTATTCTTTCTCGAAGGTTCCTATAGCCTTGAGCTAGCTTTGAAAGAGAGCAGACCCCTCTCCTCTCCCCCAAGCAAGAGCCTGTACCTTCGCCCCTTAAGTTCAAAGGTCGCCACGCCGATGGACCTTGTTTGGATCCACGTGCCCTGCTGCAAGCAGCATTGAAGGGCGGCGTTCGGATTTCCGCTGAGAAACGCGTGTTTCAATCATCTTGCACCTGATAAGTGCACCACACTCCCCGCACGTCATCGCGTGGACTTCTGCGCTTGGGACGGCCAAGGATTATCACCTCTTCCTCGTCCCGCAGATGTTGCGCAAGAAGCGCGATAACAAGCTGGTACAGGCCCTTCTTCTGACAAGTTGGGCCCCTGATGTGCTAAAACCAGGGCACTTCCGGTCAACTGTCAAGTGCTGCTTGCAGCAGCCAACCGAAGCTCAAATCATCCCAATATATCACCATATCTGCAGTATGGCTTCTGCTCAAGTACCCTATGTAGGATGTCTTGACGGGGGCTTGTGAAGCTTCAAGACTCTTGCTTGCTTCAGAAGTTTTGGCAGAATGAGGCTGAGGCGGCCCCAGGTAAAACTTAGAAGAACCCCGTAGACAAGGCACAGAAATCATTGAGATCCGTTTGAGCTCCTTTATTTTCTCTGTTGATGGAGACGCCTCAACAGGCAGAAGCAGAGAAGTCGGGACTCGTCCAGCTCGAGAGACCAGGTGCTGTCCCCCGAAGTTCCATGAACAAAATACTCTGGGCTTTGTGGTGAACTTTCGGAGTTGGGTTTGGCTTTCAGGGAAGAAGCAGAAAGAGCATTCGTAGGGGATAGGGTGTAGGGGTTAGGGTCTAGGAGCCCTGTCAGAGAGCTTCTCCACACCGTGCAAAAACTGACGCACAACTCGAACTCGAACTCGTCACCCAGCACAAACGGGTGTCTCCAGCCCACATGAACCACAAGCTGAGACCAAGGTTCAAATGTTTGATACGCTATAATATGTGCGATTCCCGCTGTGCGGCACAGATGATTCGCTGCGCCCGCGCACGTAACCGTGGTGACATACAATGTATAGACAGACTCGGACTGCTGTGCCCTGTACCAGGATGGGCAATTATATCCTAGAATCCCTTAAAAGGCCTTCTATAGGGTTCATTCTGGGGATTTAAAGGCCTTAGAATTAGCCCATCCTGGCACTGTGAAAGCTGCAGGACACCTGCCCCCGCTGGCCGAGGGCGACGTGCGCCAGGTGAAGCGACCAGAGGGTCTGCCCGACGACGTCGAGGTCCGGCCCAGGGTTGTTTGGGCAATCCAGGATGGGCTGTTAGACCCTAATTATAACATATTATAACCCCTTCAAAAGCCCCTTTATAGGGTTGATTATGGGGAAGGCCTGATAGCCCATCCTGGATCTGTGGACCAAAAGTGTGGGGTTCGGTTGGGGCTTGGAGCGAAGTGTTTCTAAACGCTGCTCTCCCTTCGACTCCGGCCAAGTGGACTCCGGTTACTGGCAGCTTGTGCATTTTGCTACGCGTCATGAATCAAGGGAGTAAAGGAGGGACCCTTATAAGGGACCTTAGGGGGTTACTTATTTAGGTACTTTACTTAGGGACTACATTATATATATATATGTATATTATATATATATATAGAAAGATACAGGGGTTGAGGGTCCCTTCTAGTGTCCCTCCCACCTGATACACCTAGACTGCAGGGCCAACCCCAGTCTCACCTCTCCCAAACTCAGTTCTGGAGGATTCCGAAGAGCCAGAAGGCCGACAAGGGCTCGCCCACTCCACTAGCGAGACCTTTGAGGAGAGCCGCGAGGAGACTGGGGTTTAGGGTTTAGGGTCCGGCAAAGTGGGGGGGTTGACGGTTGACGGTGCAGCGTCTCTTGCTGGAGCTCGATACGAAGGCTTCTGAGACTTGCCCATTCCTTAAAAAATGGTTATATGTACGTCATATACATATCCATAAACGAACAAATAAGTACTCATGTTATATGTATATTGTACATTATATAACGTATACACTATATGGTCGGTAAGGTCACAGATTCGGGTCAGCGTTCTCAGTTTGGGGAGTGCGTGTTGGGCTCCGGGTTGTTCCATCCACCGAGTTGTGAGGTTGTGTTAGCTTGACATGTGACTTGCATGAAGCAGACCACGACCGGAGTTACTTTACAAAAGCGGTGTTTCAAACGCATGGTTTACACTCATTAACTTCCAATGGCTTTTCAAAGTGTGTAAGTACTCAACTCGCTTTTGAAATTACTGCTGTTCGTGTAGCAAGGGCTAGTGACACCCAGTGCAAAAAGCAGAGCGCATGGCTTCTAAACGGAAGCATATTCTCCTTCATTGCATGAACAGATCTTATCGAAGCACCCCAGCAACTCAATGGAAATGCAGGGAACCTCATTCTTTTGATCAACATCATTGGAGGCCGGCTCAAATCCTTCCATAAGACTATGCTATTCATATAACTCCCGGGGGGGGGGGGGGTTGGGGGGTTGGAAAGAGAATGAACCGGCAGTTGTTGGGACAACCCGCTGGGCCAAATGAGCTTCGCTTTACCCCATTGTGCGTTGAAACAGGCCATATGGGTTCTGTATTTAATGTCCTTCAATTTGTGTGGTTCAAATTAGGCAGCGCCTGAGTAGTATGAGTTTTTCAGCTAATCAATAGACTGACCTTCAATAGCATCGTGTTCGTGAAGTGGTTCTCAATTCAACCAGACTGAACCAATAGAATCAACAACGTTATTCTAAAAGTTGTACTCGTTTCAACGAGAAATTGCACCAAGCCGCCATATATATATATATATATATGTATACTTATATTTATATATCCAGCACCTGATCATGGCAATTAAGAAGGTGATGTAGATTGTGAATCATCTTTTGAGCCATGAGTTTTTTTTTCAGATAGTTGACCCCTGGTGATGGAATTTGTGTCCTCACACAACTAACATCACAAAGCCCGAAGTTGATTTTGCGAGCATTAACGGAATGATTTTGGATTATTTACGTTCAGGACCATTCACGAAGTGCAGTTGCATAGGATTGAAGCCGAAAACGGCGGATCAAGGGAGGCGGGAGATATGCTGCACATATACATGATTGATACGTATATGTATAGATTTGTAATTAAATTACTAAATAAACGGGCATGAATACACACACACACATATATATATATATACACATGCATAATTTGTGGATTCTCTTTTTGCAGGCCAGAAGTTGAACCCCAGACCGGGCACGTGCGATTCTTCAGTGGTATCCTAAAGCAACTTCCCCAACAAACAACCCTGCGGAAGCCGGAAGCCTTAAGCCTGTAAGGTCTGACGCCTTCAAAACTGCCCAAATCGCCCCCATGCTTAGAACGTCCCTAAACCCTAAACCCTAAATCCTAAGCCCTAAACCCTAAACCCTAAACCCTAAACCTAAACCCTAAACCCTAAACCCTAAACCCTAAACCCTAAACCCTAAACCCTAAACCCTAAACCCTAAACCCTAAACCCTAAACCCTAAACCCTAACCCTCAACCCTAAACCCTAAGTCCAAAAGGGTCTTGAAGTGCAGGAGCCGACATATTCAAGCACGCCGAAGGCCAGTGCCAACAACGGGTTGATCTTTTAGGACCAAATGAACCCTCAAATAGCAGCCATTTACCCTATACTCCTTATAATCCATATGAAGGTATGTGGACCATACACCTTTTAGGGTTGATTTGGTCCCCAAGGTTCACGGATGTTCATGTTCCATGATAGGCAGCTGCCGAATGCTTTGGGGATTGAGTCGGTTCGGAGGATTCAGCGTCCTTGGAGGTTCATGGGTACTTAGAACCCCAATGTGAACTGCATTGAAGTTCGCCCACGAAGTCCCCCCAAGTAGGTTACAGGTACAGTTATATACTTGGGGTTACAAGTACCCATGAGCCTCCAAGTAGAAGATCGGGCTCGGCAGCGCAGTTCAATGCCGTTCTGCCGGCAGAGACAACCCGACTCTTGGCCCTGTTCGGTGAGAGAATCGTGTCGTGCCTTGAGTTGTCAGGCCGAGCGAAACGCCTTCAAATCGTGCACGGACCGAGCAACGTTGCTTGGCGAGGCGGCATGTCTCCCTTGCAGGTTGCCCTAAACCCTAAACCCCAAACGCTAAACCCTAAACCCAGAGTGGTGCAGGAGGGAAAAAGAACTCAGAGCGGTGCCAGAGCAAGAGGTCACAGCTTTGCGGCTCGTGCTTGCGCATAGACTTGCGCATAGATGTGTGCATGGCTTTCTTTCTGGGCTCCAAGCTTCCAAGCACTCAAAAAGGCCTAAACCCTAAACCCTAAACCCTAAACCCTAAACCCTGTAGTTTAGTCACCAGCACCACCTGGGACGTGATCATGATCCCACATGCCTTCAGAGCTTCCAAACGCTTCCCCAGCAGGGTTTTGTCCAAAGAAGCAGCTCTGCCCCAAACCCTATTTAAATCCTAAACCTTAAACCCTAAACCCTGAACCCTAAACCCTAAACCCCCCATCCTGAGAAGGACGAGCCGCCAAAAGAAGATGACGTCTCGGAAAAGTCCAGCAGGACCGCGCCTGCACTCTTTCCCTAAACCCTATAAACCCTAAAGACCATGAGCGAGCGTCGCATATGTACCATGGAGCCATGGAAGTTCGCTCCGAGTTGAGGTTGTTTTTGCCCTCTGACGACCGTTCGCCGTGCACGAGCAATTTTTTTGCATCAATGCAGGCTTGCCTTTAGAGTCTTCGCCTTTAGATCATATTGGTGGACCTGCCTCCTTCGGCCCAACACTACCACGCTTTGTGTGTAGTTCTCAGAAAGCCAGTCAGCTTGGAAGCTCGGGTTCGCGTGAATTGATCTTTGACATCTCCCCGAGTCCCCTCGCTCGGAAGTCTCCCCCCCCGCCCCCAGGGATGGCTACCCGAAGCCAGCGATGAAGAAGCTGCCACGGAGCATCACGCAAGTGGACTCTGGGCCCGAAACCCTAAAAAAACCCGAAACCCTAAACCCCTGCCGTGGAGGGCAGTCTTTCAGTCATTGTGGGCAAAGTTTAGAGCGAGCTATATAAGGCAGCTGAGGTCATATATGAGTACTTCCCAAAATGCGGGCACCCCTTTTAGTCCCAAAATTGAATCGGTGTGCCTTAAAGGGACCCCTCAAAGAGGGTACCCCCTAATTTTTCGGAAACCCCCACATAGGGTTCATCTCTTTGTCTTTGCCTCGTAACCTCAGACACAACTGTGTGTCAAGCCAAGGAGATGGCAAGCAAGCTGCGGATTGCAGCTTGGCTCTAATGTTGGACCTGGTGTAGTATTGGCCTCCGCTTTACAGACAATTTGGCTGGAGACTTCAGGACACCCTGACTGTTGGGGGTCCGCGGTGGGATCCTGAATTAAGACACACCGTCCGGGCGCCGCAAGAAAATTCCACGTGGCGCGCCTTTGAAAAGATTGCCGGGCATCTTATATAAACTCCTCCCTATTGAAATCATATAAACCCCCGGGCCGTGTAGACAGGAGCAAATCCACCTCGACTGTTCGGGGGGGGGGGGGGGGCTACAGTAAAGCAGGTGCAACATTACAGTACCTTTTATACGTCGCTCCGAAGCCTTGGCGAGCACATCCATCTCAACAGGCGGGGTTAAGGATTTGGGGGTTAGGGTTTAGGGCCGCATGGCCTGAACATGTCGGGGCGTACCCCTCCAAGGCTGCTGCAAAAAGGGCTCTTCGGGCCTTTAGGGCAAGGAAAGAGTAAGAGGTTCTCAGCACCAGCGGCTGGTGACCGAGGCGTTCTTCCTTCACACGCCTTTCCCAGGCTACGAGGCAAGGCCCTGCGGTCCATCTCATTCTGGTAGTTCTTCTAAGTACCAAGGGAACTAGTAGTTCAAAATACCTGTCCCGTCCCCCAGAGCAGCATCAAATAACCCTATAATAGGGTAGGTTCCCTTTTTCCCCCCGAAGCCCTGAACCCTAAGTTTTCAGGGGCTCGGCTCCATGGTCTATCTTTTTGAAGGACAGCTTCAGGACAAAAATCGTTTGGACACCCGCCGGCGTAGCCGCCTGGAGCTCTTGAACTTCTACAAGGGTCTACAAGGGCTTCTCCAGCTGAGTCCAGCTTATGCATAAAAAGAAGCAGCAAACCCTTTGTCCCGACTTGTTACCCTGCAGCGCGGCTGGAGTCTGCTAGTCCGCTCCGGAGAAACATGCATCCTTCGCTGATGGCACTCGTGAGTTTCCTTCAGGTTCTTTGCGTGCTGCCCCAGTGCGTCGACGTGGTGGAGGGCGTGTTGGGTGCTGACTTGGTCGGCTTCCATACGTACAACTACCTGCATCCTGGCCTGCAAAAGAAGTTTATGTGCCGACAGAAAGAACTCTGACTGCATGGGATGGCATGCAAGGGAGACCTAGTTGGGACATTCACGGTTCTCAGCACTGGTTTCAGCATGAGGCCATGTCCTGTAGACTTACAGAGGATGGATGCATAGAGAGGCCTCATTCTAGAAACCCTAAACCCTGAAAGTGGCCCCTCTCCTCCCCAAGGCGGCATTTCCGCTCCTGCGTCATCCGCCTTTGTGGCTTCACCCCGGAGAGGGGTCCAGAAAGCAATGCGGTGGTTAGGGTTTAGAGTTTAGGGTTCAGGGTTTACTGTAGGGTTTATAGGATTTAGGGTTTAGTGTTCACACAGAGTTTAGCAGTGTAGTGGCGCCTTACGCTATGCGGAACATGTCGCAGCGCCCCCAACACAAGGTAGATTCCCTGCGCAGGACATCGACCATGTAGACCATCGAGGTCAAAGAACACACCTGGGCGTCTTTCCAATCGGAGCTAATGCCTCTTGGGCCTGGACATCCAAAGTCTGGCAAACCAAGGAAGGGTTTAGGGCATAGGCGGTATAGGGTTTAGGGCTTGGGTTTAGGGTTCCATATCATGACAACTGCTGCTTGCCTTTGCTGACTTGAGTAACTTTATTCTCAATCTTGCACGATTCACGTTCCCCATTCCATGAACACCTCATGGCTTTACAATGTAATGTACATGAAGAGCTCTCTGTGCTATTTGAGGTGCACGATATTATGGATGCCATGAAGACGGAGCCTTGGCTTGCCTTACCACGCATCCAACATCCTTATCTCCACATCTTAGAGCCCTATAATGCTGACATCAACTTTCCAGTTCCGAGTCGGGAATTCGGGGATTCGGTACCTCGAATCCCTCGAGTCCTTAAGGAAAACCTGATCTGTAAGTCAAGAAGAAGAGTTCATCTTTGAGAGATGAGGAGACTTTCGCACAGCATTTGAAGGAGTACACTGAGCAGTTCCAAGGCTCGCGGCTTCGGGCCTAAGACCCAAGCAAGTTGTCCGGGTGGAATCAGGGCTTTAGGGATTAGGGCTTAGGGTTTAGGGCTTTGCGGGTTTTGGAGCGGGTCCCTGGGCTGCTCGGCTCATGCAAGAACGGTGCTCGCCGCAGCCCGGCGAGAGGCCCGAGACCGGCAGCGGACGGGGTTGTGGGTAGGGGGTCTTGAGTCTGGAGATTTCACCAGGGCTTCTTTCTTCGGGCTTGGCGCAGGAAACCACCATCCCAAGGAGCTGCAGTTACCCTAAACCCTAAACCCTAAACCCTAAACTGAGGGGCATTGCTTTCCGGTTTCGTAACCTACCCTAGCTGTAAGCTCGCCCGAAAAGGAGTGAAGGGTTGTTAAAAAAAAAAAAACCCTAAACCCTAAACCCTAAACCAGCAATTTGCGAGGCAAGAGCTTGGTCCTCAACGTGGAGCGCTTGGATTACTCGAAAGGCCTCCCGCAACCTGGCTCCCTAAACCCTAAACCCTAAACCCTAACCCTAAACCTTTTTTCCTAAACCCTAAACCCTAAACCCTAAACCCTAAACCCTAAACCCTAAACCCTAAACCCTAACTCTTCCGAGAACACATCGGGCGGCTGTGGCCGAAGGTTGTATAGACTTGGCTGTCTTCTGGTTGGCTCTTAGGACTTTAACTTCTTGGGTTTCCTTATGACTACAACAAAGGGGCTAAAAGTTTAACTTTTAGGAGGGGTTCAGAAGTCTGCCAAGTAGAATTCATCTAGATGCATACATGCGGGTGGCATTGCGGATCAGCAAATTTACGATTTTTTTTTCGGGAGGTCCCTTTTTGCAAGGGGGGGGTTTGATTGTCACCCTTGCCTCTTAAGCGCGGACCCCGGAGCCGTGGCAACCTTCGCTAAGGCAAAAGCTGGCAGCCATCCAGAGATATCTGGAGGATGCGAAGAAGATTCTCGGATGTAGGGTTTAGGGTTTAGGGTTTAGGGTTTACATAGGGTTTAGAAGATTCTCGGATCCTCCTGTTTTTGTGGAACTTCTATCGGCCCAGTATAAACCCGAAGGTTAGCACTTTTCCCCTCAAGCAGCCCAGTCAGTAGGCAAGAGCACCCTTCGGAACGGAGTCCGTGCGTTCAGACTTGAAACTCTGGAAGGTTTCACGTAGACCGCTGGGTGTCGCGTGCTGAGGAGCTGACTTACATGGGGTGACACGCCCTAACCCCCACCCGAAAGAACCGCAAACCTGCAAAACCCTACTAAACTACCCCCTAAACCCTAAACCCTAAACCCTAAACCCTAAACCCTAAACCCTAAACCCCTAAACCCCTAAACCCTAAACCCTAAACCCTAAACCCTAAACCCTAAACCCTAAACCCTAAACCCTAAACCCTAAACCCTAAACCCTAAACCCTAAACCCTAAACCCTAAACCCTATGCATGCATTCCAAAGCCTCACAGAGACATGGCCCAGGACTGCCGAGGATGAGGATGCGCAGAGAACCGACCGAACCGAGGAGCCCACAATTTTCTCAGGTTCTTCGGGGGCCTCCATGCTCTTTCTAGGGCACAATGCCTGGGCCCCCCCCCCACACCCCTTGAAGTCCTAGGTGCCAAATCGGTCCCACACTCCTTCCGTGGTTGAGATCGCCACAGTCTCATGTCTGCCGGCGCCAAGCCCTACATTGCAAAATCCTTACCCTAACCCTAAACCCTCAGCCCACTTAGTTCTTCTTCAGAGCATTTCAGAGCTTAGACGCGTATTCTCTTGAGGAGCTGCAGAGGCGCATCGATCGGCTGGACAAGCACAAGGTGGCGGTTGAAGAGCAGAATCTCTAATTACATACATGCCTAAATACACATATACATACATACATACATACACATATATATATATATGTATATGTATGTATGTATGCATGTAGGTATGTATGTATGTGTGTGCATATATAATTATATGTATATACATCTGCAAATATTTTTATGCATACCTATGTCAATAGCCTTCTGTTTGGTTTTGTTTGGTGAGTTTTGGTGCTTCGAAATAGGGCCTGCACACTTGAGCCCGTCCGGGTGGGGGATGGGTTTGTGGCTTTAGCCGTGTTGGGAACCCTGCGGTGCCGACAAGGGCTGAAAATTTGCTCTCTTCTTGCAGATTCTTATTCCCCACTTGGTATACTCGAGTATTGCAGTAGCCTCTACCAAAACCCACAAAACATGCAACAGAATGGCCCTTGTTATGGGTTTTGGGCTACATACCTTCGGGGGGTCCAGGTAACCATTATACCAGGATGGGCTATTAGGCCTTCTCATCCCCATAGTGAACCTTCTAAAAGGGCCTTTTAAGGGGAACATAGGGTATATTAGGGTGAACCCTAAAAAGGGCCTTTTTAAGGGATTATAGGGTAATAATAGGGTATAATAATACCCCATCCTGGTAGAAGCATGTTGGTTCGACTCCCTAAACCCCTCATGGCTTCTCAGAGCCGGGGCCTCTGCACAGGCCAACCGTGGGCTGGCCACCTCCAACTTGCGGCGCATAGGTGCTTGGGTTTAGGGTTTAGGGTTTAGGGTTTAGGGTTTAGGGTATAGGGTTTAGGGTTTAGGGTTTATAGGGTTTAGGGTTTAGGGTTTATAGGGTTTAGGGTTTAGAAAACGAGCGGCAGAGACTTCTTGCAGGAAACCTTGGGGACCAAATGAACCCCTATAAAGCGGTTTATGGATCCTGTGCCCAAATTAATATGCAACATAGTTGTATAGGGTAGATGATCCCAAATTTTAAAGTTCACTTGGGTCCTCAAGTACTCCTCCTTGGGCTCCCCTCTGCAGCGGGTGCTGTTGATCCTGTGACGCCCTCGCAGATGTTAAGTGAGGTGGGGCACAAGCAAATTTACGCCAGCAGGTGCCAATGTCGTGAAGATGCTCATGGGAGACTTTGAGCGGCCGGCAGCAGAGATCTTGGAGCTGAGTTGAGAGGCTTCAGTGGTTTGGTCCTTGAGCCTGTGTTTGGAAGGTATGTCTTTGACCGATGGTTAAGGTCTTTGTTGTCCTGTAGTCCTAGGGAACTTTTGGTTCCTAAGGGTAGTTATATTTATATCGGCCCTTAATTTGGTCCCTTACCTCCGTTACAGCGGAAGTATGGGGCCCTGTGGGTTGTATAGGGCGCAGAAGGGGTTTTGGGGTATCCTTTCAAGGGCCCACACTAAGGTATCATGTAACTACCCTAAGATAGTTGGAGCTCCAGAACCAGTGACGGCCAAAATCATTGTGCAAGGATGGCATGAATTCATATGTATGTATGTATGTATGTATGTATGTATGTATGTATGTATGTATGTATGTATGTATGTACGTGCATATATATATATATATGCATATATATATATATAATACTCACATGTTTTTGACTTTTTTCTTGGCCGCGATTCATATGCGTGCATCTTTTGAAATCTATTTCTTTACATAGATGCATACTTACATACGTCAAGTGTGCGTGTGCTTTAGACACAAGTTGCTTTGCACAGCCTAAAGCCTGAAGCACATGTTGCGCTCGATTGAGAGGCTCAGGATATGTAGATGCAGCACGTAGGGCTTACTCTGTTGGCATCCTTAGCCCATTATCCGGGCTTCCGCCTGGCGCATCCCGTCCTGAGGACGAGTTTGGACCACAACAAGACGGTCTTTGTTTTCATAGCCGTGCCAAGCAGGTGGATGGGTGTGGTTTCAAGCTGTGGGTGTAGCTGAGGTCCGAGATAGTTTAAAGGAATCTTAGGGGCTTGTCGGGGTTTGGACTTGAGAGCTGAGCTGGGCTGGAAAGCCTCGGAGGCGGGACGTGGAGGAGTACCAGAAGATTGAGGAAGAGGCACCTCGGCAGGGCTGTGCACGTGCCGAAAGGAGACCGAGCCTCCTGTAGCCTCGTGTGGATCTCGAGATCTTCTTATAGATTATCTTCCTTGCTCTCAGTGTTCTCAGTGATTCTCTTCTAGTCGGGATTTGCAGTTCTGAAGGCTGGGGGAAGCGCAGCGATGCTCGCACATAGCATGTCCAGATGGCAAGCCGATTGCAGTTGTAAGGTGCACCGAAGCATCAGCACCATCAACGGGAACTTCTCCACCCTCTCGCAACTGGGCTTACCGAGACTTCCACATCTGACTCCTCCGACCTCTTTTCCCCTGCCCCGTGCAAAGGAAGCCGCAAACCTCGGTCATTCGAGATTTTCATGCCCCGAGCTTGGGTTACCTAAGTCCCCATCCCAAGCCATGGATGCCACAGTGCCAGATGAAGGCGTGGCCGTTGAAGTCCTGCCCTCCGCAGAATCCGCAGAAAGCAGCGGCGAGGGCACAGGCGAGCCCGAGTGCGGGCCAGAGGGCCAGCCAGCGGGTGGCCTGGTGGAGTTTGTGTCCAACAGAATCTCGGAAATGCAGCCGGTTTCGCCGGATATACTCCGGGCGACGTCTGCAGGCAGGGCGCTTCGCTTCCTGGCGCGGGCGCTGTCGCAACCCAAGGGGCGCCACCACCTCAGTTTTCAGACGCAGCACATCAGCTGCTTCTGGAGCCACACCTGGCATGGGAGTGCTTGGAAGAAGCGCCTCACTCTTCTGCACATCTATCTTGCTCCCATGGCTGCCGTGGGTTCGATATGTGCAGCAGCCTTGACGACCCTTCTGTTCAGTTTCAAGGTGCTGCTGCCGGGCTTTCGACGAGAGGAGGCTTTTCGGTGGCCAAAATCCTTCTGGGGGTCCGCGGCCGGGGCCGTCACGTACCTTCTCGTCCTCTTGATCGCCCAGCCGCAGACGTCCGTGTTCCTGGACGCGATTTCGATTGACCAGGACAAGTTACCCTAAACCCTGAACCCTGAACCCTAAACCCTAGACCCTAGACCCTAAACCCTAAAACCAGGACAATCCTGAGAGGAAGGTCAAGGGGCTGTTCAGCATGGGGGCCTTCTTGAGACACTCCGAGTCCATCCTGGTGTTGTGGGATCCATCCTGGTCACACCGGCTGTGGTGTGTGTTTCTTGTCATTGTGCAGTTTTGAATGTATAAGTTGGGATATCTGAGCTGCACGCTTCCCCAAACAGTGAGTCAACACCCAAGGCGTTCCAGCGCAAAGGGTACGGGGGGTTCGATCAGCGGAACCGCGCACCGGCGTGCGCGCTGCGGACCATGGGTTTTGTCGAGGCTTGCTTGCCTTTTCGCTCTCGCCTAGGCACTGGCGTAGCCGCGCTCCCATGATTGAAACTTTCATTGCTTCATCGCGTAAAATGCGAAACTGCCGTCGCTTTTCAATGTCTCTCAATGTCGATATCGTGCTGGGTGTTTAGGACCCAACTTAATAGATTAAAGAGGGTCTTAAAACTTAAAACAGCCCAGGTTTGAGTTGGCCGCTTACTTGCGCAGCTGCGAAGAGCTGGGGAAGAAGCCCAAGATTGTCATTCGGCCCACCGGCCTGGGACCCTGTGCATTCTTGCAGACACTGGCACTGGTCCTCGTCTTCTCGGCCCTAGGTCTCGTGCCTGACAGGGTTCGGATCTTCCTCTGGACGATGCAGGCGTCCTTGTGCTTCGTAGGGTTTTACGTGACCTCTGCGACGTATCGCCACACCTTCCGCTCCTTGGACGAGTTGAGGCATGAGCTGCAGGGCTTTCGCCTCCAGGACTCCAGGTGCCACTGCTGTACGAAAGGCCACAGCAGTCCCGATGAGCTGCTTGGTAGCCCACACTTATACCCCTGTTGCCCCCCTTTTGTTGGGTCAAGGTTCCTCTTTTCAAGTAGGCAAGCCCAGAAAGGGTACCCTTATTAAGAATACGGCTACTGAGGGCTGCTAAGGATGTGTGACCGGAAGATTCTGGAACGGTGCGTGTCGATCTGGTTTGGCAGCGTGGAAGCCTTCGAGGAGAAAGTGAGGTCCGACGTGCTGCCTTGCGTTTCGAGCCAGCTTGACACGCAGCTCTTCACCTACCGCAATTGTGTCCTAACTGTGGTGCCGGTGATTTGGAGCTACATGGACACAGCCTCAGCTGAGATGCACTTCAACGACACCTGGCAGAATCTGGTGTCCGAGCTTGTCCGTGGCTTGGCGTGGTGGCTCGGGGTTGTTCCATCTGCTTACCTCATCGGCCTGCGGTGCGCCTACTGTCTGCGGAAGAAGCGCTGCTGGCTCTGCGAAGAGGCCATGAACTCGGCGGTGGTCTTGAGCATCGTGGCCACGGTCGTTTGTGCTGTGCAGCTTGAGTCCTTCTGCCTGGGGCAGCCTTTCTCCTTGAACGATGGAATGATTGCGGAGCTGTCACTTTTTTGCTCGCTGGTGGTCCCTGCTGCTCTCTTGCTATTTGGGTGCGTCGGCACCCATCCGCACTACTCAATGTCAAAAAATGAATGACCCGAGGCGCTTCAGCAGGCACAGTATTACTGTAAAGATGCTGCAAGTTGCGCAGCACACTCTTAGCCTGTAGGCAGAATGGCGTGACTCGATAGTGGCAAGCTACTACGAAGCACCGGGGGCTTCTGCGGGCTGTAGGGTTTAGGGTTTAGGGTTTAGGGCTTAGGGTTTAGGGTTTAGGGCTTTCGGGTTTAGGGTTTAGGGTTCAGGGTTTAGGGTTTCTAGGTGGTTGCTGTCTCACGCCCAGACTTGTTTCGAATCATCGAGCGGAGCTCGAGGGCATTGGATCGGCCGTGTCAAAGAAACCGTCCCGCGTCACACCTGTGTTTAGGGTTTAGGGCTTTCGGGTTATAGGGCTTTAGGGTTTAGGGTTTGTAGGTGGTTGCCGTCTCACTCACGCCCAGACTTGTTTTGAATCATCGAGCGGAGCTCGAGGGCATTGGATCGGCCGTGTCAAAGAAACCATCCCGCGTTACACCTGTGTTTAGGGTTTAGGGCTTTCGGGTTATAGGGCTTTAGGGTTTAGGGTTTGTAGGTGGTTGCCGTCTCACTCACGCCCAGACTTGTTTTGAATCATCGAGCGGAGCTCGAGGGCATTGGATCGGCCGTGTCAAAGAAACCGTCCCGCGTCACACCTGTGTTTAGGGTTTAGGGTTTAGGGTTTAGGGTTTCTAGGTGGTTGCTGTCTCACGCCCAGACTTGTTTTGAATCATCGAGCGGAGCTCGAGGGCATTGGATCGGCCGTGTCACACCTGTGTTTAATAGGGTTTAGGGTTTAGGGTTTCTAGGTGGTTGCTGTCGCACGCCCAGACTTGTTTTGAATCATCGACCGGAGCTCGAGGGCATTGGATCGGCCGTGTCAAAGAAACCGTCCCGCGTCACACCTGTGTCACTGCCGGGTATTAAGAGGGATGTTTTTTCGGGGGTCTGAATTCGCTCTGCCTCAAGCTCCCGAAGTTTCCCAAAATATGTTTCTCCCCCGGGAATCCCTAGGCATCAGCCGATTGTCTACATCCATCGCTCTGTCCCAATGCCAGAGCTGGCTGCCCTATATGCGCGAGCCGACTGCTGCCTCTCGCCTGCAGCCTTGACTCTAAGCAGGCGCACCCACAGGACCCACCTTGACTGCTGGAAAGGAAGAAGTTGGGCACATTTCAGAGTGTGCGAAGATCCAGATTGCCAGAGGGACGTTCAGGGTTTAGGGTTTAGGGTTTAGGGTTTAGGGTTTAGGGTTTAGGGTTTAGGGTTTTAGGGCAGAGGGACATTCGGATAGTCGGATGGCCTGAGAAAAGGCCTCGTCACTCCGCTGATCGACGGGATGAACCTGGTGGATCTTGGGCTGCACCTGCTGGGTTGAAGGATGGGTTTCGGGTTTAGGGTTTAGGTTTTAGGGTTTAGGTTTTGGGTTTAGGGGGTAGAAGTAGGATGTTTGTAGGCCACCGGGATCCATGGTGTGCAGCTTTTAGAATTCCTGTGATCTTTGGAGGAGTGAGCTTGTTTTCGCTTTGCCGGGGTCGCTGCTTCTGGGGCTCTGCCTGGTCTCGGGATCTAGTGCTGCCACCGGGGGGGTCCGTACGAGAAGCTTATAAGTAGCCTAAGGGCATTCAGGGTTTCGGGGCAGACCATCATCTCCAAGCGTCTTGCAGCCTCGCTAAGCCGAAATCCTGCCCCGAAGACCACAAAAAATCCATTGTCAGCCACGACAAACCAGGATAGGCTAAGAGGCCCTGTAATCCCCATAATCAACCCCAAAAAGTGCCTTTTCAGGCGGTTCCAGGGTATAATCGCCTAGAATCCCCAGAATCCACCCTATAAAGGGCCTTTTAGGGGGGTGCTAGGGTATAATAGCCTATAATCCCCATAATCAACCCTCTAAAGGGCCTTTTCCGGCGGTTCTCGGGTAGAATGGCCGATAATCCCCATAATCAACCCTCTCAAGGGCCTGGGAAATATTGCCTAGAATCCCCCATAATCAACCCTATGAAGGGGCTTTTTAGGGGGGTTCGAGGGTAGACCCTAAACCCTGAACCCTGAACCCTAAGAATCCCCCGTCCTGGTAAAGGCAAAGGAGTTCGTTGCGGCGAAGGACCGCAGCAGAGAGAACGTGGTGCCAGGCCGGGTACGGCTTCGGACCTTCAGGGTTTAGGGTTTAGGGTTTAGGGTTTATAGGGCTTATAGGGTTTATAGGGTTTATAGGGTTTATAGGGTTTATAGGGTTTATAGGGTTTATAGGGTTTATAGGGTTTAGGGTTTAGGATTCGTTCCGGGATGTGTTCAGCGCAGCTGAACACATTAGGGGAACCCTGGGTACCCTTAAACATCAAGGGCTCGTGTTGCAACAGAGATCCCCCTTCAAAAAAGGAGGGACTGCAATTCAGAGAGCTGCCGAAGTGCTGCTCCGTCCCCTATGAGGCATTCGAATCCCCAAACCCTGTACTTCACCATAGCTTTACATGGAGGGCCCTCAACCCTAAACCCTAAACCCTAAACCCTAAACCCTAAACCCTAAATCCAAACCGGTCACCGAACGTAGGCGCCCAGCCAAGATCCATGACTTACCGCCCAAAGTTGAAGGCACGGTTGTCCTTTCCGAGTTGGCCGGGGCTGCACAGGATCCCTGGCATTCCCTCAGTTTCGGTTCTGCGCCAGGGGGCGTGCTTTAGGGTTCAGGGTATAGGGTTTAGGGTTTACGGTTTAGGGCCCTGTGAGGAAGAATGCTGCAAATACCAGGGCCAGCAAAAGTAGTGCAGTCTCCAAGTGGACCAAAAGCTTTTTTTGTATCACAACATGCATTCATGCCAGTATGTTTGTGCACATATGTTTGCTTTTTCAGGCAGACAATGAGAGGGAGAGAGGGAGTCCCAAAAGCACGCGCCGGTGCAAACCAGTGCGAAGTGCTCTTCGGAACTTCCGGAACCTGGCAGTCGCGCGATTCAGGCTGGGCTTCCAGCTGACGGTAGGTAGGAGCGGGAAATAAGCCCGCGCCGTTTTGCCATAGTCCCGCCGGCCAACCCCGCGCAACTAAACAACCTACAGGTGATGCCTCGTGAGAACCCCAGCAGTGCTCAAGGCTTGGGCCCAAATGGGTGGGTGTGGCATGAAAGGCGGGAGGGGGTGAGGTTTCCCCAAGTCTCAGTAGCGCATGAATTTCAGGCTTCCTAGGGGAAATCAGGCAGGGTCATCATAAGGGGGTCCATACGCAGGAAGTAATCCAGAGAATTCCGAAGGGGAACGCGGCAGCTGGGTACGGCGGGACCTTCTCGGAATGCTGTTCTACTGGCTATGCCTAGGAAAAAGACAACGTGAAAGAGAAAGAGAGAGGGAGAGGGAGAGAGAGAGAGAGAGAGAGAGCGACAGTGAAAGAGGGCAACAGATCGAGGGACTCGTCCCGGAAGGTCTCATCGAATCTGCCCAAAATCACTGAGTCAGTTGGTGCAGCAAGCATGTGAGCTTGGGGCCCCAAACCCAAACCCTAAATCCTAAACCCTAAACCCCAAACCCTAAAACCTAAAACTTAATTGCAGGTTGACAATCCCCTCTTAGGAGCTTTTCGATGCGATTGTCGTGAACCCCTACGATGACGATGCAGTTGCTGATGCCATTGCCGCCTCTTCGTTTGCATAGTTGTTTACCCCAGGTACCCTAAGCAATATCCTTGATAAAATAGTACAAAGTGGAGCAAAACCTATACTTGTGGGCGGTTTTACACCCCAAGACCTACAACACAGATTGTGAGCTCTCTAAATTGGGGTCCGTGTTTTGGCAAGCCTAGATAAGAGGAGCCGCGGTTTTTCTAAGGACCCCCAAAGGGACAATAACTTAGAAATCACAAGGTGGAGTCAGGTGAAAGTTGCGCTCCGAACCTCTTGATATTGATGGGCAAGTACTAAACATAGCAGCAGAGCTTTGAACCACGCCGATCTTCTTCAACATGTAAACATGTAGGGTTGTCAGTGTAGTAGTTAAGTTGGCCACACTCCGGCAACATGCAAGCTCTACAAAGACTGGGTTTAGGGTTTAGGGTTTAGGGTTTAGGGTTTAGGGTTTAGGGTTTAGGGAAACCCTCTAAGCCCCAAAGTCGAGTTCCGCTGCAGATCGGCCTCGAGCTCACGCGCGGAAATCGCTTGAGCGAGGACTGCGGCGTGGGCTTTAGGGTTGATGGCCGTGTGAGGGATGCATACACAAACGTGCCTTGACATCGAGGGTTTTTTGGAGAATTTCGACGTTTGCTTACCAAGTTTTTCATTCAGAACCGGAGCAAACGGGCTGTAAAAGGTACGCCCGATGCTAGGCAGGACTCCTGCAAAAACCTCACCTGGACAGCCTTGCATTGTTTTGGAGTCTTGCTGAAGGGCTGTCAGGGTCAGACACGGGAAGAATTTCGGCAAAACATTGAGGACACGCAACTTGGTACTTCGCAGGATCAGCGCTGGGAGGTCACTGAGCGGATGCGGCAGTCCATCATCGAGAATGATTCCGCACCGACCTTAAACGAGCTTGGGATCTGTGGATGCTTTGCCCATGTTCTGCTGAGACTGGTGTAGTTATGGGAGTAGCATGTACTGTAGCTATTTTGGGGGACAATTCGTTTCTGATTCTTGCTTCTCCTACTACTACTACTACTGCTACTACTACTACTACTACTACTTCTTCTACTACTACTACTTCTACTACTACTATTATTTCTTCTTTTTCTACTTCTACTTCTACTTCTACTATTGCTACAATTGCTACTATTGCTACTTTTGCTACAATTGCTACTATTGCCACTATTGCTAATATTGCTACTATCGCTACTATTGCTACTATTGCTACCATTGCTACTATTGCTACTATTGCTACTATTGCTACTATTGCTACTACTGCTACTACTGCTACTACTGCTACTACTGCTACTACTACTACTACTACTACTACTACTACTACTACTACTACTACTACTACCGGCTGAACGTCCGGACATTGGTGTTTTGCGTCATTTCCGGTACAGGCCGAAAATC